TTTAAGTTTATACATTTATTACCGTCCACCATATTATTTTCAACAAGTCCGTATCTTTAAGTTTTTCATATAGGCCCTAAGGATATATTTTTTATCTTTTATATTAATATATCGCTGAACATGCTGACGTTGCCAAAAATATTGCGGACAGAGAGAAATGCACACATTTACCATCATGGGCTTTTTTTTTTATATAGATCTAGATCTATTAGGATTTTCAAGAGTTAAAAGTCGCCATCAAATTAATTTAAATTAAAATTAGGGCCTATTAAATGTCATTAGGGCCTAGGCCTAATATTTTTTTATTATTTAGTTAGTCTCATAAAAATTCAATTTTCTTCAAATTATAAAAAGAATAGCATATAATTGTAGAGCTTTAAAAATGCAATCCAACAGTACCAATTTTATTAATTTAGCATAATTGGTTGATTAAATATAATTTTTTTAGTGTCGCAAATAAAATATATAGAAACGCGACCAAAAACGCAGGTAAAAAGTCAAATTCACTTGTTTTAAAGCTAGTAAGCAAGAAAAGACATGATTCTTTCTTACTATTGAAATCAGTTTGCTTATACCTACATTTTTTTACACAGAGGTGAAAGTAAATAGTTTATATAAATTTATAAAATGCCATTTATATAATTTATTGTATGTTTTGTGATGAATTTTCAATTGGAAAATACCGCATTTGGAAGCAGAAAGGTAAATTCTACAGAACAGATGTTGTTTGGAATGTTATAGATTATAGATCTAGGCCTATATAAAAATGTTTGTTTAATAAAATTCAATTAGAGTCCACCCATTTCTGATGGGTACCTGATATACATTGGGGAAATTAAAGGTAAAAAGTAAAGGCGGCTGTGAATATCGCTGACCACACAGACAATCACTTCATATGCCGAGGTCAAGAAACATGAACTCTACTTCATCTGCCAAATAGATTGCTTTGTCTACAGTGGAATCATAAGTAATGTTTACAGGGGCCTAATAAAATTGAGTTATGTTTGTAAAAACATTAGGCCTAAGCTTTAAAAACTTATTTTGGTCAATATCGGAAAAAATAAAAAATCTTTTCGACTAAATGGGTTGAAAAAAGCTTTGAATTTGTTTCATTGTTTGTTATTATATAGTCTGGCGCATTGCTTAGATGGCAGGATTGACCTCTGACCCTGAAACGTCACGCATCGTTTTCTGACGGTTTTTCCGTTTATTTTAGGGGTCCCATCCACGACAAATGAAAAAACTGTTTATTTCGCAAATTCTCATCATTATTTTAATGCAAATTGCTAATAAAATGGATAATATGCCTTAGAATGCCAGAAAAAATCACAAGATTCGTGGTTGTAAATAATGAGAGGATTTCTAGTGGAGCACTCTCCGTAAAAACTGAACCGCCGCCAAAAACGACCGACTAACGGGGAAAACGGCTCGACTAACTGTACATTAATATATAATTGATATATTTATCATGTATATTTACAGTATTTTTGATTACTTTTTCTAAAATCTTCCTCGAGGATGAGGTACCCACGCTGACATTTCTATCCGCTATTTTAAGTATCATGACGTCATTGTTACGCTAGTTGCCAGACTGAAACAACTAGTTTTTGTTTTTTACGGAATGAACTGTTAAGTCTAGTATTTTAATTATAAATCAATTGTAGCATGTGTGGAAAAAGTAAAATTATAGACATTATTATTGTATTAGTAATTTTATTAGTATATTGATTTTTTCTTCACTGTGGGCCGACCGTTGCTGCATTCGTGACCGGTGGTTGACCTCGTCAACGCCGCGTGGCCTATTCGTTTATATAATTAGTGTTGCTCGTTCAGTGGCCTTTTTCAGAGCTAGGCCTAATTACGGGCGATTTTTAGACTTAATTGATTGGCCGTTAGCCTTTTTCATTGCTGCGTATTGTAAAAAATGCTCGTTCAGCGGCCTTTTTTTTTGGCGCTAAATAATCTGTTTACGGGCATTTTAAGCGTTTATTTATTTATTTTTTTAAGCTAGACGTAGATCTAGTTTAAAAAATATTTTTTTTATACAGCTGGCTGTCTAGCATGCCTGATATCCGAACTTAAAAAAAAAATGACCGAACTGAAAAAATGACCAGAAGTAGGGAAGTAGGTCTCTTTTTCAATTTGCTTGTAGAAGAGGGGGGGGGGGGGGGGGGGGGAGAGAGAGAAGTGAAGACACCGACCATCTCGTGTACGCGTGTTCATTCTATGACGTGTACTGTAGGCCTGCTGAAGTCACGGTGACCCCGCGACCGTGGTGGGATTTTTCATCCACAGGATAGTAAACATAAGCAAGCAATCACGCGAGTGACGATGTTTGGAGATTTTATTTTTAAAAAAAATCACATACGTCATGTTTTCAAGATGAAAAAAATGTAATGTAAAAAAAAAAAAAAGACACTAATACCATGTATGAACCTCAGCTGCCACACTGTTGACTCAATATAATGAATTATAATGTGATTGAGTGTAAAATGTATTTGCATTTATAAACTATCTTAACTATTACTATCATATTATTTTATGCATATTTATTATTTAAAATTAGAATTTAAAATAAAAATATTTATTATGGTCGTTTGATTTATGTAGGTGTTCATTATTTCTTAAAATGGTATGAATAAAATGTAGAGTAGAATTTAATAAATAATAAAATAACTAGATCTAAGTTTTATTATCAACCAGTTGCTTTTTGTTATTTTCCGGTGAGTAAATGACCTAAGCTGACGCAATTACCATGGCGGGAATTAAAAGCTCGTGCACACAAGTTCACGGCGTCATGTTATGCCGGTCCAGGAGCAAGATTCTTGTTTTGTCATTCATTTTCCATTCTAGCTAAATTTTCAAATTCTCTTTTTTCTCGTCAACCGAATAAGCTAGATATTTAAATGTGGTGTCAAATGTTCTCTTAAGGGGTAAGGAACTTAATGGTGTATTTGAAATAACAGAATATTTTATTTAAAAAAATCCATAATTCAACCTATTATTATATATTGTAGTATTTGGAATTGAAGCTTTCTTTCTTAATTACAAGTTGTATTAATTTCAAACCTTAATGTATTTTCTTTTTAATTCAGTATTAGCCTAAATGTAAGGTAGGCTACAGAATTCAGATATTACCTATGGTTTTGTGATTTTTTTATATGTTTATAACATTTGTGTTTATGAAATGACCTAATGAAGTTATCAAGCAAACTGTTTTATTATTATTTTAATAGGCCTGCAAGTTATAAGTACAAAATATAGATATCTAATCACTAGATCTAGGTCTAAGTTTAAGAAAAAACTACCTAAAGGGTTTGAAATACTTAAATATAGTACTAAAAGTAGCTATGTTTTGAAAAAAAAATATCTTAAACTGGAGACATTCAATTTAAAAGTCATTATAAAAACTCCACGATCTAGAATCTAGATTTATTTCTAGATCTCTAGTAGGAATACAGATTTAGAGGCTTTCCCATCAGTATCAATGTACTATCTTAGCTATGTGGGAGGTCAGTACGAGTTCACTGGGAAAAAAATCGGAACTGCCGTAGGGGGGTGGGTTTAGTGCGCAAATGCTCCTGACCGATTGCCAAAAGGTACAGAAATTCTAAAGATACATTTTAAAAGAAAAATGGACGGCTGAACTGCAGTTATCAAAATATCTGTGTAAGTAGAAGTATAAATAATAATATTTTACACAAATATAGCTGTCTTTTGCTAAATCTAGCTCAATTTCCACGAAAATCGCATCCGGTCGCAATAATTTTTATATCAGCTTGTCGGCCATTCAACGATCTATCACGTGTAGCAGACGCCAAACAGATTTACCCGTATGGTATTGCGCGAATGCTATTTTTAGCAACAGTGCCGAGACGCGATCGAAAAAAACGAACTAGAAAGTGGCCATAAAAAAGCGGGTCAGGGGAGGTAATTCAACTCGCGTTATGAGACTAGCTATATTATTTATTATTTAATTAATTAATAATAGGCAATAATAGCCTAATTAATTTAATTATGAAATACGCTCAACTGGAGGTGATCGTGAAGCGGGGAATGAAATACGCTAAAATGCAGTTTTACCCCTTCTAGATCTAGATCTAGATGTAATTATTGTGCAATTTACTAATCAGTGCCAAGATCTTTTAGTATTTTAGATCTATTTTCTACAAAAATATCTTGATATTTCCCACCAAATCGATTTATTATGTTTTCTGTTGGATCTAGTTCCGGTATCGCAAATTATTTAAGTAAAATAAACAACGATCCTAGCTAATTGATTACTTAAAAATATTTCAGCGGGATTTTCGCCAGTACGGCTAAATTTAAAATTTCTGTACTTCCGTTTCGCCACTACGGGCTAATCCCCTTTTTTATAATGCAAAAATGTGACGTCGCAAAATCTAACCCCCCCCCCCTCCCCCTCATCACACATCGTCACAAAATTACGGACCCCCCCCTCCCCCCTACGAGTGTGACGTCGTTTATGGATGACCCTTTACTCGTATTTCAAATTAAGCTCGTGTGGACGTATGCTAAAGTAAATTTTAGCTCGCATGATGTTGGGGCACCAGTGTAGTTGTGGAGAGTTAACGCAGTTGGTTGTAGATAACCAAGCTGTTAGTCGAGTATTAGACAGAATAGGTATGTTAGGACCAGGAGATAGTTGAGATAGTAGAAGTAAAGTGCGGGACAGTTGGAGTTACAGTTTGTGTGCATATAGGCCTATATATATATATATATATATATATATATATATATATATATATATATATATATATATATATATATATATATATATATATATATATATATATATATGCTTTTTATCCATATGCTCATTTATCTATATATGGATTGTATAATAAAGACAAATTTAAAAGCGAAGTAGATCTAGATCTAATAATTATGTTTATTTGTTTATTGTAAATTAATAAGAAAGACGAAGTGGTGTTAGTTGAACTCTTACAAATTAAAAATAAGAAAATCATAAGGCGTTCCAAGCGTTCGTGCTTACAAATAAATTATACATTAATACATTTTCTTAGTGCTATCTTTACTTTATTTTATATGTTTAAAGCCATATTAATAATAATTTAATAATAAGAACGATTTTAGGCAGGTAATCTATCGTAGTTTTAGGTACGTAAAATCGCCCGCGACTTGTAATGACATTACATTTACTATTAAATGTGAAAAACAGGTGACTCCTTAAATTTTAATAGTTTTTCGCATTTTGAAGAGGATTTAATATTTATGTTTTTTAAAATACAAACATGTTTCCTTGTTTCATTTATGTACCTGTTTTTAAACAATTGAATAAAAACTTTTCCGTAATAAATGAAGACTAGCGATGTTTCCAACAGATGCAACCATGCTCATTTACTATAGCAGCCATTTTGTTTAAGTTTTATTTTTATAAGCTTATAGCGCAAGATTCAGCAGGAAGCCACTCTATTTTACAAATGGTTGCTGTGTTTATAGTTTATAGCAAATACTGCTCGCAAACACGGCTGTTTAAAGTTAATTTCTGGCATATATTGATATATTTAGCCATTGATTTTGGTTCATTATACAATTATCTATAATATTTGACACAAATATATCACAATATACTTCTATTAAAGTTTCAAGCCTTAACAATGAGGCAACTTTGTCGCACATTACTAGTCTCAGCAGATTTTACGTACCTCAAACGATAGATTACCCATAATCATAGTAAACATTAAAGTAACACTAGTGACATTAGTAAAATGTTTTTTATTTAATAGTAGTAGTAGGCCTATTCAATATTCATTTAAGACTTAAGATCATAATTTGGCCTATAGGCCTATTAAAATAATTATTAATTAACTGTAGCACTATAGTACTGTGACTATGAACTTACTATGAAGTATAGGCCTATTGTTTATTATAATAAAATAATAATATAATATAAAATTTCTGTGTGTAAGGCAAGGGGTCATCCATAAACGATGTCACACTTCACTAGGGCCAGGGTCTGGACTTTTGTGATGAGTGGGAGTGAAGTGAGGTTAGAAGCATTTTAAAAAGAGTGACGTTGTTTATGGGTGACCCCCAAGGCCTAAATTAAAACTAAATTCTTTTACTTTATGCACTATTTTTTTTTTATACTCAGTATTATTTATCAATACATTTTATAAATTAAAAAAATGGCACCTGTTAAAAAAAGAAAGGCAGAGCCTAAACCAGTAAAACCAGGTTTGAAAGTTTTGGCCTCTTAATATCTTATTTTTAAATATAGATCTTATGAAGGGTATATTATAGTATGTATATATAATACTAGGTCTGCAGCAGTAGGCTGTATATTTTTAGTTGTAATTGTGATTCCTAACAGCCAGCAATTAAAATCTATTTTTTTATTATACCTATTGAAAATAAAGTATCTGGGTGAAAATGATTTTTATTTCTTTAAAGTATAAATTGAAGATTACAGCAAGAATAGGTTTAGTGTTAGATTGCTATTGTTAGTAGTCAAGTAGGCGGTAACATCTACCACCTGCAGAGTAATTAAATGTTTAATTTATACTTCATACAATTTCAGAAACATCAAAAAAGAAGAAAGGAGCATCTAGCGCAAGTGATCCAGCAACAAATGTTTCTGATTGGACGTTATCAAAGTTACCATTGCAAGGAGAGTGGCATGATGCTCTATCTCAAGAATTTGGAAAAGATTATTTTATTAAGCTTGAGAAACAGATAAAAGAAGAAATTAATAATGGTCATGAAGTATTTCCACCTAGCAACTTGGTTTTTAATGCACTTAATTCAACTCCTCTCAGTAAAGTAAGTTAAAATGTTTATAATATATATATATACTTTTAAAAAGTTATTATAATGCCTATAATTTTTGCATTTGTCCAGGTGAAAGTTGTTTTGCTGGGACAAGATCCATATCATGATAATGGCCAGGTAAGATTTAATAATTTATAGTGAGTCAAAAATAACTAAGGCTGGTAAAAAAATTTAAACCGCTTTGTAATTATTTTAAAAACCTCTTAAAAATGTATGTTGTTGACGAATGGTATTGAGTAACTTTCATACAAATATATTGTATTTGACAAGTAAGCTACCAGTTATTTACTCATCATAACTATTAACAGCCTGTTTTTTTTGTACCTTTTTGTTTTTTTAGGCTATGGGACTATCATTTTCTGTACCTAAGGGGCTTCAAATACCACCATCATTGAAAAATATATATACTGAGCTTTCTAGTGATATTCCAGGCTTTAAAAGTCCAGGACACGGTTGCCTACAAAAATGGGCTGAAAATGGTGTTCTTCTTTTAAATGCTACACTTACAGTTAGGTAAATAAAATTTTTTTATAAAAATGGTAGGAGGAATCAACTTTTGTAGAATTGCTTGGGCTAGGGGGCAGGGGAAAAAAACCAGCAGATCAAAATGCAATGAACTGATAGTTTTTATAGGTATAAAAAAGTCGTTCCTATGTAGTATGCTTGCAATAAGGAACACAGAAGGTCACCTAATTCAATGTACCCTTACAACTTGTTAAAATACTGCATTTGACCACAGAAAATAATGGAATTAAAACTTGTCTTTCCAAGAATTCATTAAAACAATCCATTTAAATGAAACAAGCTAACATCGATAAAGACTATTCATACATAAAAACATTATTTATTTTTTTCAACACATTCTAGATTGACCAATAAAACAGGTATTTAACCTGTGCCCTCAAATATTAGCATCATGTTGTACACACACACACAATACGTATTATTGTGCTAGTTAATATTCTTGTTACACTAACAACACACTGAAATATTTTTTTCAGGGCACATAATGCTAATTCACATAAACAGTTTGGGTGGCAGAAATTCACAGATCAAGTAATTAAGGTTATATCAGATAAATGTAGTCATGTTGTGTTTATGCTTTGGGGAAACTTTGCTCAAAGCAAAGAAAAACTTATTGATCTTCAAAAGCACACTGTACTGAAAGACGCACATCCTTCACCACTAAGTTTTGGTAAATTTAAAGGTTGTAAATGTTTTTCCAGAGCAAATGATGCCTTGAAAAAGAAGGGCATGGAGGAGATTGATTGGAAGTTGGAGTAAAGACAAAGTTGAATTTAATTTTTTGTTTACATTCTTTAAATACTTATGTCAAAACAATTTTTTATAAAATGTTTTACTTAAAATTTTACCCTGATCCAGATAATGTTTTGTCTACAATATTTTTCAATTCTGTATACTATATCTTCAATGTATAGCATGTTAGTTTTTGTCATTGCAAAATATAACTAATGGAAAAGCTTCAGAGCTTTTGGAGTCAGATTATCTTTTATGTTTTACATATTTCATAAATAAAACCTTTATTCCATATAGGTAGTAAAACTTCAATTTTTAAACATGTTGTATTTACTGTTGAGTGATGTAAATAGGCTTGTTCTTGTAGTGCTGTTTTTGTCAATTATAATATTTTCAATTTAACTCACAAATCAAGCACATTCTCTTAAACAAATATAAAATTAAATATAATGAGGGCTAATGAAGTAGGGTTCACCTGTTCAACCTTCTTTAGCCTTAGTATATGAAGAGATTGTGTACTTTGTACTATGCCAAGCCCAGCCACCATTACTGTTAAAGTCCAACACCCATCTAGGCTATTATAGTATTCCTGCATTCTAAGATTACTAAGAATATTTTGCTATTTATATCAATGATGACTCACTAAGTAACACAGTGTCAATCACCTATGCTAATGAGTTATAGTGTATTACCATAAGTATAGAAACACAATCACTAAACTACTTATTATTAAGAAAAATACAAATACTGAAAAAGTGTTATTAATAATAATATTAGCAATTACAATTTATTCACAGAAAAAAAATGTTAAAAAATAAATAAAACAAGAATAATATGAAAAACTTACAATGAATGACTATCAAAATCTCTCATCCAGTTACACATAAATTATGAAATAAATTATAGCCACAAATCTTTGCAAACATAAGCTACAATTGGAAGTAGCATTGCTCTCTCCTGTGGGGCTAATCTTAATAACTATTATCTCTGAATTCCTTTTATAGGAAGCTTGAATAAGTAGCTGTTTCTAGAAACAAAGAATGCATAGTCTACAGTCTACTACAATGCACAGGCAAGATGTGAGGGGGGGGGGGGGGGTAGAATTGGAGTTTGTTGTTTTATCAAAATAATTTCGTTTTATTTGATTAAACATCTTGTAGGTTTTATGTTCAGTCAGACTTGTTTGCCTGCCTTATATGGGCAGTCGTCTGTCTATCTTATGTCAATTCGGCCATTTGTCAGTGTCAGCCATGTGATGTCAATTTTGTCAAACAAAGGCGGCTGGGCATAGTGCTGACCACACTATCCCTTCATATGCTGAGGTCAATGAATCAGATGAACTCTACTTCATCTGCCCCATGTGTCTTGGGTACGAACGGGATTAAGAAGAAAATGTTCACAACCCATTACTATTAGCCATTAGTAGGCCCAATCTAAAAAAAATTATCTAAATGTCTTCATTATTAAAAAAACGTTTGCAGGTTTCAATTAAAATAAACAGGGATTTTTTAAATAGCATAGCAGTGTATAGAAAATATAGATCTAGTAGATAGTATATTGCTATAATTTCTAAATTATTTGGTAAAACGAAGTTGTCATGGAAATACGGTCACGGAATAAATATTTGATCCATTATTATTTATTTAGTAGATGGCTTTCCCTGGGGTGTAGGACAAAAGGCTGACCTCCAAAAGGCCGACAGGGCATAAGGCCGACAAGCATAAAAAATACTAATATCGCAAAAGTTGTGTTACTGTATAGCTCCTATATTGACAATCATCGAAATAAGGCATGAAAAAAAGGTGAATAGTTCAAGAGAAGAGAGGGTGCTAGTTGCTATCCTTATAAGGTTAACCATCGGGTCAAGCGACTGGAGATTACGGGTGTGTCTTAAATACAAAGGATCAACATCTAGATATTGCGAAATGCTATCACTGCTGTCTTTCATAGCTCATTCTATGTAATCGAGGTAAGATAATCATCAAAGAACCAAGTCAAAAGCCGCCGGCATCATCGCCCACATGCAACAAGGTGGAACGCCAAGAGACAATGCTAGTTGCGATCCTTATAAGGTGAACTATGGGGTCCATGCAACTGGAGATGACGGGAGTGTAAAAAGAATAAACAGATAGGTGGCGTTACCACCATATTTCGCAAAGAAATCAAAGAAATCGAATGAGTAGAACAATCGCGTGCCTTGACTAGACTACATGTTAAATACAGAAAAAAAATTGAATTAAATTTAGTTTCGTCCATTGCGAATTGCGTGAAAAAAGTGTATATTATATTCGTTGGATTCATTAATTCTGTTGTGATTGTGATACAAGTGTGCCGAAATTGGTGCATTATTTTTGTTTTTTGTGTAAACTTACCCCTGTGATTTCCCTATATATTGACCAATATATCAGCAACAAATAATTGGTTACATCGTGTGTTTTATTTTATCCTATTGTATGTACCTAAGAATATTTATTAGAAACTTAAAAAGTCATATATAATTACATATTTTAGATATTAAACATGGCTGTAATTGTAGTTTGTTATTTATAAAACTTATCGGCCTTTTGTCTTGTCGGCCTTTTGGATATCGGCATTTTGTCTTGACGGCCTTTTGGATGTCTACCGTTTGGCAGTCGGCCTTTTGTCTTGTCGGCCTTTTTTCCATGTCAGCCTTTTGTCCGTGTTGGCCTTTTGTCCGGATCCCCTTTCCCTGCCGACGATTCGCATCGCCAAACGGGCAGACTAGATCGTGTGCGCAGTGCGAGGAACACTTTTTCTTTAGAGAAACACAAATAATATGGTTAAAAAAACTGGCAACCGGTTAAAACGAAAATAATAAAAAAGCCAACAAGATGTCAGACGACGAGTTTATGTGTGGTGACGATGAGGAAGAATACGATTTGGTAATTTCTGCTCTACTATTAAGGATAAATAGATTATGCCAATTAAATTAATTGTATTATGGGTTAACAGCCGTTACATTAGATCTTTAGTATACTAGTTATAACTAGTTTAAAGATGCTGGAATGTTTGGAATTGGAAGTTAGCAGTTAGCTCAGCTGAGCTACAAACAGTTACTGCCGGTTACACTTACTTACAGTTATTTAACAACAGCAGTAACTAAGTAGACTCTAGATCTATTAACTTAGTAAGTTGCTATTGGTCTAATCTAGAGTAAAGTTCCACGCGCGGTCACACATAGCGGAAAATTCCAAATTCCCGATTTTCATCGGGCGCTATTTTATAACCGTTTCACACAGAAACAAACCGAAAGCACTGTATTACTCCGCTGCCATTCTACTGTAATATGTATGAGTCATTTTGTATTCCTACGCATAGTATTTAAGATATTCATGTTTTAGTGACGTCCCTCCTTGCGATATTTTTTTCCCTTTTTTTTTTGCCTGCGTACGCAAGAACCTGCTTGCCAACGAGCGTATTGTATACGTTTTGATCCAATTTTAATAATTGAAATAAATATTTTACACACTTAAACGTGTTGTTGATTGTATTATTAATTAATAGATTGCAAAAATAATAATTAAAAACAAGTTAATTAAATTAATTAAAGACATTAAAAGTTGACCCAGTGATGACTCAAGGGACGCAACTATAATAATCATAACAAAGGGACGTAACAACCACTAAAAGACATAACGTAACATTTGCTTAGATATGCTTGTATGTAGAGACACAAACTAGATTTAGAAGAAGTAGATGATCGAAATAATTTAAAACAGCAGAAAAAAATAGAAAGTATACAGATTCTAGGCTTAGTTTGAAATATAGAGCATCTAGAACTAGGCTAGTCTAGCTCAAGTCGTTGGTTACGCAGCGATGTGAAACCACCGTAATCGACACCCAAGCTGCGGCCACCCCTATTTACCTATCAGGTTGCTTTATTAGCCTTATCTATCGTATGTACAGTGTCCCGCATATATTGTAGAAGCTATTTATAGTTAACCTAGTTATAAAAAGCTTTGATTGGTTGGTTTTATTCATCTCATCCGGGACCTAGTGTTTTTCATAGGGGGAACTAGAACCGCCTACGACGTCATACCTCGAAACTTTAAAATTTAAAAACTCGACTTCCAGAAGGAGAAAAACAAAAGAATTTGACCTGGATATATTTAGAAATGGACAGGTTTACAGCAGATATCGGTAGTTTCGTATAAAACATCAAAACAAATATTGTACGAAGCGATAAACAGGCGATGATCGCACCGGTGTTTTAACCGCGCGTGGAACTTTACTCTAATTCTAATCTAGAGACTGGCGAGGTGTTATGTTAAGAGTCCAATTACTCAGCTGCATAAAGGGTCATTAAGGCAGACAGTAAAGTTCTAAATTCTAAAAGTGGGCCAAAAAGGAGTAGGCCCTAGCTAGAGTTAAATCTATGTCAATTTAATGAATTTATTATTTATGATTGATTAGTAGGCCTAACTTCTAACTAAATTAGTATGATTAGACTTTGTTTAGACATACTCAAAATCTAGATCAAGGCCAATTGTAAATTAAATTATTAATTTAATTATATTTGGCCTGATTTCTAGGCAAATTTTTAAATATTAGCCTACTTTGAGTTGATCTATTAAATTAGTCTACTAATTAGGCCTACTAATAATTAAGGCCTACTGTCTGAAGGGGGGGGGTTAGTAGAATGTAAGGCATGAAGTGGCTAAACTATTAAAATTATTTGGCTCTAAATGTGAGACAAATTGTAAAACATAACTTAAGCCAAGCCTACCTGCGAAATAGTGGGTAGGCCTATCAATCTATGCCTATATATTATTTACAGGCCTATTTACAGGGCTTAAAAACATTGTGTTGGATTTACGTTTTTAGTATTAACTTGTCTTAGTTTTGATTTATGAGAAAGAGTTAGACATGCTATAGTAAATAAACCAGTGGATTACCCCCTGAACAAGAAATGTTTTTTTAATCTTATCTTGAAATATCATAAAAAGCATTCTGTAAAATTCTGTTTACTTTACTCACTAATATCTTAATTTTAATCATGATAGAAATCTACATAAGAAACAATATACAATATGTGATGTAAAATATAGGCTTAACTTAAAACAGGCATCACAATATTACAATTGATCAATTGCAAGCAGATACATATGCAAATTCCAAACATATTCATTCAGATAGGGAGTGATGAGGATTAAGTTAGTAATAGTCTACTAGAGTAATGTACGTTGAAGGCACAGACTTGAGTTCAATCCTAGTTCCTTTACAAAGCAATAATGTAGGTTAATGAACAAATGGAAACACTAAGGATGTTACTTACCACAAAACACATAAATTACTGATAGCAGCACCAGAATGTTATTTGGTTGGTATCACATTAAATCTCTTTTTTAATATGTACCTTTACATTTTCAATTTGTTTAGAACCTAATTATTGGCAGTAAAGATAATATAATTAGATAAGCTATGCAATGGCAGTTTCTATCTGTTCAATTTAGTATTCTGATTACTGTAATATTTGGGAACAGTGCATTACCCCCCCCCCCCCCCCCCACGAGTAATTAGCCCCTGTCAATTACCCTCCCGCCAATTACCCCCGCCCAGTAGGACATTTACCCCTCCCCCCCACGGACACAGCTTAAGGTAGGGATAGAGTTAGGGTTAGGCTTAGAGTTAGTGTTATGGTCAAGGTGAGGATTAGGGCTTGGATTATGGTTAGTCTTATGGCTAAAACCAATGTATAGAGCTGGTTTTGGTTGTGTGTTAAGGGGATATGCTATGTTTTTTTCTATTTTTTACATTTTAAGATCTAAAGCCTTTTGAATACTTTAATCATATTTGGCATATAAAAGTAAGTATTAAACAGCAAAAAAAAAGGGTCGAAGACAATTTTGGTTGTCATGGAAACCAAAAAACCTCCGCCATTTTGAATTTTTCGGTACTTTTAAAAATGCTAAGGCTTTTTTATTTATGCATCTTTAGCAATCAAATTTAAACTGCTTATATTTCAGTATATATTAAAACTTTTGTCACGACAACTTTTTGAAATAATTACTAGTAAGAATTTTACAAGGTCTAAAAAATTGTACCCTTTTTAGTATTCAAAAGTTTCAAAATGTGCATATTAATTACCAAATACTTTTTTTCTATGAAAGCAATCACAATTCCCTCGTGACAAAAGTTGTATTGTCGCATCAAGAACAGTTACTGAAATTATGGTTTGCATTGTTTAATAAATAAAAAAGTAGTAGGCTTTTTAGTGTTAAAAACATGCGAACTGAGAAAAACAGCCAAAAGTAACGAAAACTAGGTCAGGAAAGTACCATATCTGTGTAAACTGCAAAGCCGATTGTAAGCTTTGGGTGTTTCCGAGATGCAGGAAATTAAGTTTATTAAATACATGAGAAATCCAGCTTTCCAATGATGTCAAATACAATATAATGACGGATATAAAACTTTTCATAGAGAGCTTGTAAGATTGGGAAAAATTGATTATTTTTTAATTAATAGGGTCATAAAAATCGTAATTCAAACACATAAAATATTTTTTTCTCTTTAAAGTTATTATTTTCTATATACAAAAATGGACAAAGTATCCAAAAGTCCAAGAAACCCATCATGACGAAAAACAAGAAATTTTGTGATTTTTTTCCGCGCATATCCCCTTAAGTTATAGGCACAAGTGAATGCTAAGGTTTTGGTCATTTTTTTAAGGTTAGGATTAAGTAAATATATAGGTTTAGAGTTTGAGTTAGAGTTAGGATCATAACTTGAGGGGGGGGGGGGGGATAATGTCCTGTAGCCGTAATATTTATAATGTACCTTATTTTACTGCAAACTAGATGGTCAGTAGTACAAAAGTATTTAGAGTATGTAAACATGCAAGAGAGAATTATGAACATAAATCCCTATAATAATGTAATAATACCTAATAAATCGTTATTCTACTTTTTCATAATGGTTGTTTTTTTATAGCTGATAGCTGATAGTGATACCTACCCAAACAGTGATACTTGCAGAAAAATTATGTTAAAACATATTGTAATACTGTAAACTTAGCAGACTATTTAAATATTTTAAAATTAAGTTTACATTGAAGTATCATTAACAAACTACTGGTATTACATTATTGATGTGGGTAATGTTAATTTAAAAAAATACTCTTCTTTAGAGCCACTTTTTATAATTTTTAAATTAACTTTTAAGTTTTGTAAGTTAGTATAATGAAATTGTATAACTCTATAAGTTTGATTGTTGATAGATGAAATGGCTAGTCGCTTGATATTAACAGTGGACATGGCTGTCTTTTATTTTACAGGTGTATTCTGAGGAAAGTAACTCTGAGCCAGATGTTGATCTAGAAAACCAGTATTATAACTCAAAAGCACTCAAAGAAGATGATCCAAAAGCAGCTTTGGAAAGTTTTCAAAAGGTGAGTTTGAACGTTTTCATTTTAATTTCCAAAAATAAATGTTTGTTTGCTTTTGATTAATGGAGAACAATGTTTTATTGATGTTAAATGTAAAATAGATTCTTCCTCTGAAAATCTGAACTTACAATAATTATTATGATTAAATCATGATTTAACATTATAAAAAAGAGGGAAATATGCTTCTAATTAAGGATTCCCTTAATGTATTTTGATTGATTTATTAGGTTCTTGAACTTGAAGGCAAGGAAAAGGGAGAATGGGGATTTAAAGCTTTAAAGCAAATGATTAAAATCAATTTTAGATTGGTAAGTTCTATTTTATTTTTTGGTATCATAAGTAAAATATTATTCTTAATACTATACACATTTTGTTTTAGGCCTATAAAACTAAGCTAATCTCATTAAAAAAACTCCATGCAGAATTTTTTGCTAGTGAGTTGTCTATGCCAAATTATTTTCTGTATTGTAAATTATAAGGCTATAATTGTATATGTTTCATACTGTAGAACAATTATGATGAGATGATGATAAGATACAAACTGCTTCTGACCTACATAAAATCTGCTGTAACAAGGAACTACTCAGAGAAATCAATCAATTCAATTTTGGATTATATTTCAACTTCAAAGCAGGTAATGCATTTCTGTTTATGTTTTCAGTCTTGTCTTCACAGTTATGCATGTAGACTGGTTTATAAGACTGTCACAAATTTAAGAATTATGATATACATGTACCTAAAAAAAGGTTTTCAAGCTATTCTAATTATAAACTTAAATATGCTTTTGCTATATTGACATGTGTAAATCTGATTGTGATTTGTGTGTCTGTACTAGATGGAACTGTTACAAGACTTCTATGAAACAACTTTAGATGCTCTAAAGGAAGCAAAAAATGAAAGGCTGTGGTTTAAAACCAACACAAAACTTGGAAAGCTGTATTATGACAGGGGGGACTATCCTAGGTTACAGCGTATCTTGAAGCAGCTACATCAGTCTTGCCAGGTATGTACCTTTTTCCAAAAATACTAATCTTTGAACTGAATTCCTCATCATATTTTATATATTTATCTCAATAAAGTGTTTTTATTGTGTATATCTAGACAGACGATGGTGCTGATGACTTAAAAAAAGGAACCCAGCTGTTGGAGATTTATGCCTTGGAAATCCAGATGTACACAGCTCAGAAAAACAACAAAAAATTAAAGGTAATACCCAGAAGATTGATTTAACTTGTAATTATTAAACATTTAGTGTATCATATCTCATTATTAACAGGAGTGTTTTATCTTTTTTCTTGTATAGGAGTTTTATTCAAGTAAAATTAAAATGTATTCTTAAATAGGAATTAGCTCAAGACTTTCTGCTAAGTTTAATTTTTTATATATTTTCTTCATTAGGCACTTTATGAACAATCATTACATATTAAGTCAGCTATTCCTCATCCACTGATCATGGGAGTTATTCGAGGTAATCGTTTAGTCAAATAAACAGATAAAAATGCACATTGATAATTAACCATATTGTCCTCAAAAATTGAAGCTAAGCAGCTCTTGTATTTCATATACACTGTGACTGTTACTCTGGTTTAATGATGCAAATTATAAATTAACACTCCTAAAATAAATTAAAAAAAAACAATGTTAGACTGTGTGGAGCAGAATGAAACCCTTGTTAATTGTAGCTGAAGTACCAAATGTGTGTCATGATAGATAGATAACTTAAAGGAGACCATGGCATGTGTTCTCTACAATACTTTCCTAATGTCTTATGTTACTTCAATATGTTGAATTATATTTATTGTATCCAACATTTGTGATTTACTAAACATTTGAATTTTTTTTTCACACTTAGAATGTGGTGGAAAAATGCATTTAAGGGAAGGGGAATATGAGAAAGCACATACAGATTTCTTTGAGGCATTCAAAAACTATGATGAATCAGGCAGTCCAAGGTAGTTTAAACTGATAAATTTTATTTATAAATCTAAAACAATAGTTTGAAAAATATTCTAATGTAATTAAAAAAATGAAAATTCCAAATATGATTTTAATGATTCATTTCCCAAAGGAGAACCACTTGTCTTAAATATCTTGTTCTGGCCAACATGCTTATGAAATCTGGCATCAACCCATTTGATTCACAAGAAACAAAACCATATAAGAATGATCCAGAGATATTGGCAATGACTAATCTAGTCAGGTAATTAAAATATGTTTCTGTATTAGATTTCTTTTAAGAATCAGTGATTGTTTTTTATAACTATATGGTCAACAGGTCTTAAAACTCATGTTAAAACTTTATCTTCCTTTAGAGAAAAAATTATATACCATCATTTCTTTTTCGTATTACTTCTTGTTGACTTAATTGTAGTCAAATGCAGTTTTTTTGCCTGTTATTTTTTCCAGTTTTTCATCTTTTATTTATGTACGTGAATTATTGTAAAATATTTTTTGTAACTCTTTAAAAAAAAATTGTTCTTGGCAGTGCCTACCAGAATAATGATATTAATGATTTTGAAAAAATACTGAAAACTAACAGACAGAATATAATGGAGGATCCTTTTATTAGAGAACATATTGAAGGTAATTTTCCTCTTATGTCAAACTATTAAGCACTACAGCCTAGAATTACAAACTAGTGCATGTTATGTAGGCTATTGGAACCATATAAAATGCTTTTTTGTGTACTATTAGTCTATGGTATTTGATGAAAATGAAAATATATTTTCCCCAGATCTTTTAAGAAATATCCGTACCCAGGTACTAATCAAACTAATCAAGCCATATACAAGAATTCATATTCCTTTCATTTCAAAGGTATGTATTCATTTTTAAATATTTATAAAATGTTTCTTGGTAGTGCTATTCCATCAGGAGCTGATAATTTCACAGTGAAATGTGGATCAGATTAGTTCAATTTGCAATTTGAGTGTGGGATTAAAATTCTAGCTCTTTCTCATGTGTCCCGACATTAGTGGAATTGTTTCACAAAAATATGTCTCTTATTCTGTCAAACGTTCAAAAACACAATTACAATAGTTTAGAGAGGTACTGTAACACGGCAACCCTTCATCATTGATGCCTAAGATTCTTTTTTTATTGACTATTCAAAGTGGTTGCAAACACTTGTCATGTCTGCTTAGGTCTGACCATGGCACCTGAATGAATGTTGATTACATTGTTTCGATAAGTTGTTTAAGAATGGATTAGAATATTTTTAAGTACATAAAAACAGTTTCAGATTCCATAAAATATTGTTTAATAAAAGACTGTTAATAATTCTGTATAAATAAATAAAAAATTCTATGCTACCACAGACTGTAAACTTCTAGTACTAACTTCATATTTTTTTCTCTTTTACCAGGAATTAAATATAGATGCAGTTGAGGTGGAAAACCTGTTAGTTTCATGTATTTTAGATAAGTAAGTAACTTCTTTATTAGTACAGTTTAGTTATATGTGGGTTTTTATCACTGTTTTTGACTAATTTGAGATTTAAAACTATTCAACAGTACAGTGAATGGAAGGATAGATCAGGTGAACCAAGTGCTTGAACTGGATCGTGAATCCACTGGAACTGCTCGTTATAATGCCCTGGATAAATGGACAACCCAGTTACAGAGCCTTCACCAAGCCGTGACCAGCAAAATTGCTTAGTTGTCCACTTGTTTGGTATCTAACTGGCAGAAGGATGAAAGCTTTTATATCAGATGATCATTTTATAAAGGATACCTTTTAGATGCAGTGTTCACTCACTTTCCAGTGTCCCAACATCATGCTATTTTATGTATCTGAATGTTAAAACTGTAAATAAATGGTCTTAATGATTTCAGTTTTGTTTTGGTACACATATTTTTTTCACATGTTACAAGAAATAAACAATATCATTAGGTAAAATAAATATTTGGCTTTATTCATGTAACAGTTTAAGTCAATTGCTGTTTGCCTTAACAATTATCCATTTCATAGTTTACTAGAACTGTTCTGGTTACCATACAAAAATAATGGATGAGCGATCTTGTAATGACATCCATCTATACTGACAGATGACTTGTCTGAGCCTAGGCACCAGTCCATTTCTGAAATCTGACAGGTCGTCCCCCTTGTTGGTTCCAAGCACAGATCAGTCACAAGTCTTTCACTGACATACTGACCAATGCCAAGAGAGCCTGACACCCCAGTTGACCTTATTCCACCTACAGTCACCCAGTTACTGACAACAAAAATAAATTTTATGAAATGGCAAAAGAAGTTAACACAAAAATATATTACCCATCACTGAGAATGTAAATGCAAGTTGTTGGGTACTTTACATAAATCTATTTAACTATCCAAGCTTAGGGAACAGATCTAATGCTAGTGAACACTTAAAATGTAAGTGAACAGATTGAAGTGATTTGTTCTTACATTTGTGGATGTGTCCTGATTTGGTAGTCTTTGAACTGTGTGGCAGGTCTGAGACCCAGGTACTGACCAACAGGCGGATGGCTGTCCAGCTCTGGGATCAAGCTGCCAGCCTGCATCTTAAGTGACGAGTGAATTTTTGGGTCACATGTTGGCTGGCTTCCTCTAGCCACGTCTTCAGCTGTTGGCCCAATGATTAAGTTGTTGTAAACTGAAATTTAACATGGGAAACATGATTCTGTTTATAACAAAATCTTCAGAAATGAAAACTTAACTGATCAAAATTTTGCAAAAAAACTTGTGAGGTACTGAGGTCAACTAAACAGTTAAAGCAAACATCTTTATCAAAATTTTAATTAATCAAACGTTTTTGCTTGTAGCATTCCCTGTATAAGTATTAATAAAGACTGATAATTTATATTAATTCTATTTTTAGCAAGAAAAACATTTTTAAAAACCAATGATAATTACCAGAATTAAAGAGAGCAATTCCTTTTGATTTATCAGATGGAACAGGAAAGATAATAGAGTCAAGGAAATTGCTTGCACTCTTTCCAAACACACAGTACTGTCCTTTTCTAGGCTGGATGCTGATGAAAGAAAACTTATCAGGTTTAACTGAATCATTACTACTAAATATTCATTCATTTTTGCTGTCATATGTTAAGATATATCAGTAAACTTTAAGCACCTGAATGAGTTGATGCCAACCAGAGAATCCACTTTATCCCCATATAGTCCAGCACAGTTAACTGTTGCTTGGACTTTAAACAAACCACGGCTTGTTGTTAAAATTCCATCTTTGAAGCCAGTAACTTCACAATTTGTACAAATCTAAAAAAAAATGTTTATTTAAAAAAAGAAATAAAAACCCCATAGAACAATGTATTATTTTAGTAAAAATGATAAAATCACTTTTTATTTTTTCTCCAGTATAAGAGCCAGCAAATTAAAATGAATGATTAAAATTGAGTTCTCTGAACGTTATGCATTTATAATAATTAATTTATATGGAAAGCCTGTTGTGCAAAAAAATAATCTTTTAATTAAAAAAGTAGCGGGAATTAATCATCAGCAAGTATATTTTCACCTTAGCTCCCAACCTTACAGCCTGTTGAGCATAAATAATTCCAAGTAAACTTGAATCAACAACACATTCACCAGGTATGCTCAAAGCACCTTTCATTGTTTGCTTCAGGTGAGGTTCTCTTTTGCGGAGGTCGCTTTGATTCAGATAATAGACACTGTCAATTCCAGCTTTATGTGCATTCTCTTTTATCAAGGGAATTTTTCTATTCTGTAAAAAGCACATGATAAATTCAACACTCTATCTGAGACTTCATAAGTTCTGTTACAGAACCAGATGTTTATTTTAACAGTTCATAAGATAAAACTTCAGACAGAATCTTTATGAATATTATATGAATTCTTGACCTGATAATTATTATGTTACAATCTAGTCCCTTTCACTTTTTTTGTTTTAAATTCGATTAGGAGAAAAAGGTTTTAATGCCCAAGATGCCTGCTTATATAACAAGTCTCAAATGGTTTATTCAGTTCTATTTGTCTCAAATGTTTATAGTTTGTGTAGTGACTCTAAAAGATAATAAAAGTCACCTCTTCATCAGTCCAGGCTATTACAATAGCACCACATTTTCTATGTGGAATGTTACACTTTTTAATCAGCTCAAATATCACTTCCTGAGTGCTTTTGATACAATGCTGCTCAAGACTGAAGAGTGGGGCATCAAAGCCAGTAACAAGCATGCCACTAAGGGAGGAATCATAGTTTGCTTCAATCATTTTAAAATAAAATGGTTTTTGTTGTTACGGCATAGGCCTAATTTTGAAATTCTACTTTATTTGGCAATTTAACAATTTGAATTTTAACATAACCAGTGTCCTCCCCCAAAAGTTTCAAATGCCCCCCCCCCCCCCCTCTCTCCCCGGAAAAAATTGTCTGAAAGAAAAATACACTGGTAGCCAAGGTGTTACCTGTTTCCAGCACTGGCACCTGTCATAATGTCCGAACTTTTCTCCAACAAGACGCACCTGAAGCCCTGCCGTGACAACTCAAATAAAACAGCACATCCTACTACGCCACCTCCTACTATGCCAACATCATAATCTGTTTCTGACATTCTTTTGGAAAGAAAAACAAAAAGTAAAATACTATAATATTCAAATAAAAAATGTTTACTCTGTTGGTAGTCTTAAATTCAATTTAAAAAATCCCAACTAAAACAATTCACAAAGGAATGTGATGGCCTTGCCAGAAGATCTAGACTAATCAGTGACAACCAACTTTTCCTAGTGTTACCTTTGAGGTGCACTTAAATTTTTGGGGTAGACACTGGTTAAAGTAGGTCTATATATTTACTGAAATTATTTATCTTTTCTATATTGCTTCCCCTGGTGATTTTGCTCTGAGGGTAAAAAAATGGGAGGAGGGGGGGGGGGGGGGGTTGATCTGTAATGAATAATGTCTTACACACAGACAATCTTTTTTCTAAGATGCATTGAAGTTGTGTTTAAGACCCTTATCTTTTATATATTTATATTGATCTAACTATTATACCACATTAAATTAATTTTGAAGATCTAAGTTCTACAACTCTTCACTAAAGAAAAAAAACAACAACTACTTGATTTAATCTAGAGTAATTAAGAGTAATCAGATATTCTAGATCTGGTTGGTTGAGCGTTTAGTCTGTGGTCAGTATACAGTAATTTTAAAAAATTTACTTTTATAATTTTGAAAATGCACTTGTATGTTGATCCAAATGTAATCTAGAATCTAGATCTGGATTTAGCAGCTGGAATTTAACTTTCACTACCGTATCTTCTAAAAGATTAAAGGTCTCTCGTAAAATTACCACAGTGGTTTCCCTTGGACCACATAATGAAAATTCATGTAAATTGTGACATAGGGAGCGGGTTGGGTGTGCATGTGTTTGTTTAGACTTTAGACTGAAGATAAAACTAAGAATACTAAGATTAAGATAAGGAAGAAGGTTCTGAATAACTAGATATAATGTATTGAGTTTTATTTTTAAAAAGAAGATAACGCTTAATTCATTTTATTTCTTTGTAAAATTCTCTAATAATTGCTCTAATGATTGCTGTTACCTCTTATAATACTATAAACTATTAATACAACTCTCATTTTGGGATCCACAGGTGACCCTTGCCTACACCACTGGTTGTACCAGGTAGGCTACTTAGAACATACATATTACATAAGGATAAACTACAGGGCCAACTAAAACACAGAATTACCATTCCTTAAGCGTCTGGTCTGCAAAAAATGCAAATTCCCTGTGAAAATAAACCAGTTCGGACATCAACTACTGAGCCCAGGTGTTTGTAAATCTTTTGTTCTAGATCTAGCTTGTTCTGTCTGTCTTACTCCAGTTGTTTATGTGCCCTCAACATGTCACATACATCAGGTATTTTAGTTAAGAAAAACAATGTTTATGCATACAAACACTAATTTTAAGCTGGTTCTAAAAATAGGTACTGTAAAATTTGGTTTTTTATTGCAACAAACATTCCAGAAAACCTGGCTGATAGCTGTAGAGGATTCAAATCTATCTGATAGCTGTAGAGGATTCAAATCTACCTGATAGTTGTAGAGGATTCAAATCTACCTGACAGTTGTAGAGGATTCAAATCTACCTGATAGTTGTAGAGGATTCAAATCTACCTGATAGTTGTAGAGGATTCAAATCTACCTGATAGTTGTAGAGGATTCAAATCTACCTGATAGTTGTATAGGATTCAAATCTACCTGATAGTTGTAGAGGATTCAAATCTACCTGATAGTTGTAGAGGATTCAAATCTACCTGATAGTTGTAGAGGATTCAAATCTACCTGATAGTTGTAGAGGATTCAAATCTACCTGATAGTTGTAGAGGATTCAAATCTATCTGATAGCTGAAGAGGATTCAAATCTATCTGATTTTATGAAATGGCTAAAGAAGTTAATACAAAAATATATTACCCATCACTGAGAATGTAAATGCAAGTTGTTGGGTACTTTACATAAATCTATTTAACTATCCAAGCTTAGAGAACATATCTAATGCTAGTGAACACTTAAAATGTAAGTGAACAGATTGAAGTGATTTGTTATTACATTTTTTTTCACACTTAGAATGTGGTGGAAAAATGCATTTAAGGGAAGGGGATGATGAGAAAGCACATACAGATTTCTTTGAGGCATTCAAAACTATGATGAATCAGGCAGTCCAAGGTATTTTAAACTGATACATTTTATTTATAAATCTAAAACAATAGTTTGAAAAATATTCTAACGTAATAAAAAAAAAAGAAAATTCCAAATACGATTTTAATGATTCGTTTTCCAAAGGAGAACCACTTGTCTTAAATATCTTGTTCTGGCCAACATGCTTATGAAATCTGGCATCAACCCATTTGATTCACAAGAAACAAAACCATATAAGAATGATCCAGAGATATTGGCAATGACTAATCTAGTCAGGTAATTAAAATATGTTTCTGTATTTCTTTTAAGAATCAGTGATTCAGACTGTTTTTATAACTAAATGGTTAACAGGTCTTAAAACTCATGTTAAAACTTTATCTTCCTTTAGAGAAAAAATTATATAGATCTACCATCATTACCTTTTTGTATTAGATTCCTACTTCTTGTTGACTTAATTGAAGTCAAATGCAAAGGTTAGTTTAACAAGTGGATAAATAATTACCTTTTTTCAAGTTTTTTGCCCGTTATTTTTCCAGTTTTTTATCTTTTATTTATGTACGTGAATTATTGTAAAATATTTTTTGTAACTCTTTAAAAAAAAAATTGTTCTTGACAGTGCCTAACAGAATAATGATATTAATGATTTTGAAAAAATACTGAAAACTAACAGACAGAATCTAATGGAGGATCCTTTTATTAGAGAACATATTGAAGGTAATTTTCCTCTTATGTCAAACTATTAAGCACTACAGCCTAGAATTACAAACTAGTGCATGTTATTATGTAGGCTGTTGGAACCATATAAAATGCTTTTTTTGTGTACTATTAGTCTATGGCAGGGGCCTCCAAACTACGGCCCGCGGGCCGGATGCGGCCTGCGAGGTCCTCTCATCCGGCCCGCGGAGATCATTTTGTAACCGGAAAAAACCGTTTGTTGGTGATGGCTGAAGAACTTTGTCCAGAAAAATCAAAGACATGCCTGGAAGAAACTGGCCCCCGAACTGAAATTTGATAGTCAATGCGGCCCTCGGACTGAAAAGTTTGGAGACCCTTGGTCTATGGTATTTGATGAAAATATATTTTCCCCAGATCTTTTAAGAAATATCCGTACCCAGGAACTAATCAAGCCATATACAAGAATTCATATTCCTTTCATTTCAAAGGTATGTATTCATTTTTAAATATTTATAAAATGTTTCTTGGTAGTGCAATTCCATCAGGAGCTGTTAATTTCACAGTGAAATGTGGATCAGATTAGTTCAATTTGCAATTTGAGTGTGGGATTAAAATTCTGGCACTTTCTCAGGTGTCCCGACATAAGCGGAATTGTTTCACAAAAATATGTCGTTTATTCTGTCAATAAGCATGAAAAAGTTCAAAAAAACAATTACAATAGTTTAGAGAGGTGTAACGGACACCTATCTACCAGCCAGATAGATGGTGAACGCCCCCGGATTCTTTCTTGTGGTTATATGCAAATGACCTAAAGCATAAATGAATGAACACTAACTCAACAACACACTAGGGCTCGATTTCGATGTCTAGGGAAAACTAGTGAAACTATTGAAGTTAACAACTCATTCAATCTGCATACAACCTTTAATAAGCGAACACAGTTGTGGCAGAACACAAGGTTAAACAAGATAAAATATTTAGTTTAGAAAATAACAAAACCCAACTTACAAAGCGTAGGAAAAAATACTATCACAGATTCTAACACTGTATAAAAATAGCCACAGGTCACACAACACTGCTATAGCATCAAGAATCACTTGGCGACAAGTAATATAATAGTAGAACACTTAAACAACTTAAGAATGCATAGCACACTCAGGACTTAAGCTCTCTCACGTTCAAATGGTCAGAATGGATTGCCGGACAAAATGGACGGCCTGGTCAAGATGGACTGCCTCGTGCTGCCTGTGGGCGATCTAGTTAAAGACTTCGGCAACAGGGGAGGTTATCCTCAACTCATGTGGCCATTGGTTGGGATGGTCATCTGATCTGAATCAATCAATCAGATCTTGATGGAAAATTTCTTAGTCTTAGACACTCTTAATAAGACAGTGGAAAAAACCCGGTTGTTGCACCATCAATCCATATATGGTATTCATACAATGTCAAACTAAAACATTACTAGACCTAAGTAGGTCACAGAGGTAATGAAACATGGCAACCCTTCATCATTGATGCCTAAGATTCTTTTTTTATTGACTATTCAAAGTGGTTGCATGTCTGGTTAGGTCTAACCATGGCCCCTGAATGAATGTTGATTACATTGTTTCGATAAGTTGTTTAAGAATAGATTAGAATATTTCTAAGTAAATAAAAACAGTTACAGATTCCATATTTTTAAATAAAAGACTGTTAATAATTCTGTATAAATAAATAAAAAAATTCTATGCTACCACAGACTGTAAACTTCTAGTACTAACTTCATATTTTTTTCTCTTTTACCAGGAATTAAATATAGATGCAGTTGAGGTGGAAAACCTGTTAGTTTCATGTATTTTAGATAAGTAAGTAACCTCTTTATTAGCACAGTTTAGTTATGTGTGGGTTTTTATCACTGTTTTTGACTAATTTGAGATTTAAAACTATTCAACAGTACAGTGAATGGAAGGATAGATCAGGTGAACCAAGTGCTTGAACTGGATCGGGAATCCACTGGAACTGCTCGTTATAATGCCCTGGATAAATGGACAACCCAGTTACAGAGCCTTCACCAAGCCGTGACCAGCAAAATTGCTTAGTTGTCCACTTGTTTGGTATCTAACTGGCAGAAGGATGAAAGCTTTTATATCAGATGATCATTTTATAAAGGATACCTTTTAGATGCAGTGTTCACTCACTTTCCAGTGTCCCCAACATCATGCTATTTTATGTATCTGAATGTTAAAACTGTAAATAAATGGTCTTAATGATTTCAGTTTTGTTTTGGTACACTTATTTTTTCACATGTTACAAGAAATAAACAATATCATTAGGTAAAATAAATATTTGGCTTTATTCATGTAACAGTTTAAGTCAATTAATGTTTGCCTTAACAATGGGAAATTTTTAAAAATCTATTTTATAGTTTACTATTACTGTTCTGGTTACCATACAAAAATAATGGATGAGCGATCTTGTAATGACATCCATCTATACTGACAGATGACTTGTCTGAGCCTAGGCACCAGTCCATTTCTGAAATTTGACAGGTCGTTCCCCTTGTTGGTTCCAAGCACAGGTCTGTCACAAGTCTTTCACTGACATACTGACCAATGCCAAGAGAGCCTGACACCCCAGTTGACCTGATTCCACCTACAGTCACCCAGTTACTGACAAAAAAAATAAATTTTATGAAATGGCTAAAGAAGTTAACACAAAAATATATTACCCATCACTGAGAATGTAAATGCAAGTTGTTGGGTACTTTACATAAATCTATTTAACTATCCAAGCTTAGGAAACAGATCTAATGCTAGTGAACACTTAAAATGTAAGTGAACAGATTGAAGTGATTTGTTCTTACATTTGTGGATGTGTCCTGATTTGGTAGTCTTTGAACTGTGTGGCAGGTCTGAGACCCAGGTACTGACCAACAGGCGGATGGCTGTCCAGCTCTGGGATCAAGCTGCCAGCCTGCATCTTAAGTGACGAGTGAATTTTTGGGTTACATGTTGGCTGGCTTCCTCTAGCCACGTCTTCAGCTGTTGGCCCAATGATTAAGTTGTTGTAAACTGAAATTTAACATGGGAAACATGATTCTGTTTATAACAAAATCTTCAGAAATGAAAAACTTAATTGATCAAAATTTTGCAAAAAAAACTTGTAAACTGAAATTTAACATAGGAAACATGATTCTGTTACATAGCAAAATCTTCAGATGAAAAACGTAACTGACCAAAATTTAGCAAAAAACTTGTGAGGTACTGAGGTCAACTAAACAGTTAAAGCAAACATCTTTATCAAAATTTTAATTAATCAAACGTTTTTGCTTGTAGCATTCCCTGTATAAGTATTAATAAAGACTGATAATCTATATTAGTTCTATTTTTAGCAAGAAAAACATTAAAAAAAAAACAACCAAAATTACCAGATTTAAAGAGAGCAATTCCTTTTGATTTATCAGATGGAACAGGAAAGATAATAGAGTCCAGGAAATTGCTTGCACTCTTTCCAAACACACAGTACTGTCCTTTTCTAGGCTGGATGCTGATGAAAGAAAACTTATCAGGTTTAACTGAATCATTAATACTAAATATTCATTCATTTTTGCTGTCATACGTTAAGATTTGTCAGTAAACTTTAAGCACCTGAATGAGTTGATGCCAACCAGAGAATCCACTTTATCCCCATATAGTCCAGCACAGTTAACTGTTGCTTGGACTTTAAACAAACCACGGCTTGTTGTTAAAATTCCATCTTTGAAGCCAGTAACTTCACAATTTGTACAAATCTAAAAAAAAAATGTTTATTTAAAAAAAGAAATAAAAACCCCATAGAACAATGTATTATTTTAGTAAAAATGATAAAATCACTTTTTATTTTTTCTCCAGTATAAGAGCCAGCAAATTAAAATGAATGATTAAAATTGAGTTCTCTGAACGTTATGCATTTATAATAATTAATTTATATGGAAAGCCTGTTGTGCAAAAAAATAATCTTTTAATTAAAAAAGTAGCGGGAATTAATCATCAGCAAGTATATTTTCACCTTAGCTCCCAACCTTACAGCCTGTTGAGCATAAATAATTCCAAGTAAACTTGAATCAACAACACATTCACCAGGTATGCTCAAAGCACCTTTCATTGTTTGCTTCAGGTGAGGTTCTCTTTTGCGGAGGTCGCTTTGATTCAGATAATAGACACTGTCAATTCCAGCTTTATGTGCATTCTCTTTTATCAAGGGAATTTTTCTATTCTGTAAAAAGCACATGATAAATTCAACACTCTATCTGAGACTTCATAAGTTCTGTTACAGAACCAGATGTTTATTTTAACAGTTCATAAGATAAAACTTTAGACAGAATCTTTATGAATATTATATGAATTCTTGACCTGATAATTATTATGTTACAATCTAGTCCCTTTCACTTTTTTGGTTTTAAATTCAATTTGGAGAAAAAGGTTTTAACGCTGAAGATGCCTGCTTATATAACAAGTCTCAAAGGGTTTATTCAGTTCTATTTGTCTCAAATGTTTATAGTTTGTGTAGTGACTCTAAAAGATAATAAAAGTCACCTCTTCATCAGTCCAGGCTATTACAATAGCACCACATTTTCTATGTGGAATGTTACACTTTTTAATCAGCTCAAATATCACTTCCTGAGTGCTTTTGATACAATGCTGCTCAAGACTGAAGAGTGGGGCATCAAAGCCAGTAACAAGCATGCCACTAAGGGAGGAATCATAGTTTGCTTCAATCATTTTAAAATAAAATGGTTTTTGTTGTTACGGCATAGGCCTAATTTTGAAATTCTACTTTATTTGGCAATTTAACAATTTGAATTTTAACATAACCAGTGTCCTCCCCCAAAAGTTTCAAATGCCCCCCCCCCCCCCTCTCTCCCCGGAAAAAATTGTCTGAAAGAAAAACACACTGCATGTAGCCAAGGTGTTACCTGTTTCCAGCACTGGCACCTGTCATAATGTCCAAACTTTTCTCCAACAAGACACACCTGAAGCCCTGCCGTGACAACTCAAATAAAACAGCACATCCTACTACACCACCTCCTACTATGCCAACATCATAATCTGTTTCTGACATTCTTTTGGAAAGAAAAACAAAAAGTAAAATACTATAATATTCAAATAAAAAATGTTTACTCTGTTGGTAGTCTTAAATTCAATTTAAAAAATCCCAACTAAAACAATTCACAAAGGAATGTGATGGCCTTGCCAGAAGATCTAGACTAATCAGTGACAACCAACTTTTCCTAGTGTTACCTTTGAGGTGCACTTAAATTTTTGGGGTAGACACTGGTTAAAGTAGGTCTATATATTTACTGAAATTATTTATCTTTTCTATATTGTGTGTGTGTTGGGTGGGGGGGGGGGAGAATGAAGTGCTCCAGAGACATATGCCCCCCCCCCCCCCCCCCCGCTTCCCCTGGTGATTTTGCTCTGAGGGTAAAAAAATGGGAGGAGGGGGGGGGGTTGATCTGTAATGAATAATGTCTCACACACAGACAATCTTTTTTCTAAGATGCATTGAAGTTGTGTTTAAGACCCTTATCTTTTATATATTTATATTGATCTAACTATTATACCACATTAAATTAATTTTGAAGATCTAAGTTCTACAACTCTTCACTAAAGAAAAAAAACAACAACTACTTGATTTAATCTAGAGTAATTTAAGAGTAATCAGATATTCTAGATCTGGTTGGTTGAGCGTTTAGTCTGTGGTCAGTATACAGTAATTTTAAAAAATTTACTTTTATAATTTTCAAAATGCACTTGTATGTTGATCCAAATGTAATCTAGAATCTAGATCTGGATTTAGCAGCTGGAATTTAACTTTCACTACCGTATCTTCTAAAAGATTAAAGGTCTCTCGTAAAATTACCACAGTGGTTTCCCTTGGACCACATAATGAAAATTCATGTAAATTGTGACATAGGGAGCGGGTTGGGTGTGCATGTGTTTGTTTAGACTTTAGACTGAAGATAAAACTAAGAATACTAAGATTAAGATAAGGAAGAAGATTCTGAATAACTAGATATAATGTATTGAGTTTTATTTTTAAAAAGAAGATAACGCTTAATTCATTTTATTTCTTTGTAAAATTCTCTAATAATTGCTATAATGATTGCTGTTACCTCTTATAATACTATAAACTATTAATACAACTCTCATTTTGGGATCCACAGGTGACCCTTGCCTACACCACTGGTTGTACCAGGTAGGCTACTTAGAACATACATATTACATAAGGATAAACTACAGGGCCAACTAAAACACAGAATTACCATTCCTTAAGCGTCTGGTCTGCAAAAAATGCAAATTCCCTGTGAAAATAAACCAGTTCGGACATCAACTACTGAGCCCAGGTGTTTGTAAATCTTTTGTTCTAGATCTAGCTTGTTCTGTCTGTCTTACTCCAGTTGTTTATGTGCCCTCAACATGTCACATACATCAGGTATTTTAGTTAAGAAAAACAATGTTTATGCATACAAACACTAATTTTAAGCTGGTTCTAAAAATAGGTACTGTAAAATTTGGTTTTTTATTGCAACAAACATTCCAGAAAACCTGGCTGATAGCTGTAGAGGATTCAAATCTATCTGATAGCTGTAGAGGATTCAAATCTACCTGATAGTTGTAGAGGATTCAAATCTACCTGACAGTTGTAGAGGATTCAAATCTACCTGATAGTTGTAGAGGATTCAAATCTACCTGATAGCTGTAGAGGATTCAAATCTACCTGATAGTTGTAGAGGATTCAAATCTACCTGATAGTTGTATAGGATTCAAATCTACCTGATAGTTGTAGAGGATTCAAATCTACCTGATAGTTGTAGAGGATTCAAATCTACCTGATAGTTGTAGAGGATTCAAATCTACCTGATAGTTGTAGAGGATTCAAATCTACCTGATAGTTGTAGAGGATTCAAATCTATCTGATAGCTGAAGAGGATTCAAATCTATCTGATTTTATGAAATGGCTAAAGAAGTTAATACAAAAATATATTACCCATCACTGAGAATGTAAATGCAAGTTGTTGGGTACTTTACATAAATCTATTTAACTATCCAAGCTTAGAGAACATATCTAAGCTAGTGAACACTTAAAATGTAAGTGAACAGATTGAAGTGATTTGTTATTACATTTTTTTTCACACTTAGAATGTGGTGGAAAAATGCATTTAAGGGAAGGGGATGATGAGAAAGCACATACAGATTTCTTTGAGGCATTCAAAACTATGATGAATCAGGCAGTCCAAGGTATTTTAAACTGATACATTTTATTTATAAATCTAAAACAATAGTTTGAAAAATATTCTAACGTAATAAAAAAAAAAGAAAATTCCAAATACGATTTTAATGATTCGTTTTCCAAAGGAGAACCACTTGTCTTAAATATCTTGTTCTGGCCAACATGCTTATGAAATCTGGCATCAACCCATTTGATTCACAAGAAACAAAACCATATAAGAATGATCCAGAGATATTGGCAATGACTAATCTAGTCAGGTAATTAAAATATGTTTCTGTATTTCTTTTAAGAATCAGTGATTCAGACTGTTTTTATAACTAAATGGTTAACAGGTCTTAAAACTCATGTTAAAACTTTATCTTCCTTTAGAGAAAAAATTATATAGATCTACCATCATTACCTTTTTGTATTAGATTCCTACTTCTTGTTGACTTAATTGAAGTCAAATGCAAAGGTTAGTTTAACAAGTGGATAAATAATTACCTTTTTTCAAGTTTTTTGCCTGTTATTTTTCCAGTTTTTTATCTTTTATTTATGTACGTGAATTATTGTAAAATATTTTTTGTAACTCTTTAAAAAAAAAAATTGTTCTTGACAGTGCCTAACAGAATAATGATATTAATGATTTTGAAAAAATACTGAAAACTAACAGACAGAATCTAATGGAGGATCCTTTTATTAGAGAACATATTGAAGGTAATTTTCCTCTTATGTCAAACTATTAAGCACTACAGCCTAGAATTACAAACTAGTGCATGTTATTATGTAGGCTGTTGGAACCATATAAAATGCTTTTTTTTGTGTACTATTAGTCTATGGCAGGGGTCTCCAAACTACGGCCCGCGGGCCGGATGCGGCCCGCGAGGTCCTCTCATCCGGCCCGCGGAGATCATTTTGTAACCGGAAAAAACCGTTTGTTGGTGATGGCTGAAGAACTTTGTCCAGAAAAATCAAAGACATGCCTGGAAGAAACTGGCCCCCGAACTGAAATTTGATAGTCAATGCGGCCCTCGGACTGAAAAGTTTGGAGACCCCTGGTCTATGGTATTTGATGAAAATATATTTTCCCCAGATCTTTTAAGAAATATCCGTACCCAGGAACTAATCAAGCCATATACAAGAATTCATATTCCTTTCATTTCAAAGGTATGTATTCATTTTTAAATATTTATAAAATGTTTCTTGGTAGTGCAATTCCATCAGGAGCTGTTAATTTCACAGTGAAATGTGGATCAGATTAGTTCAATTTGCAATTTGAGTGTGGGATTAAAATTCGGGCACTTTCTCAGGTGTCCCGACATAAGCGGAATTGTTTCACAAAAATATGTCGTTTATTCTGTCAATAAGCATGAAAAAGTTCAAAAAAACAATTACAATAGTTTAGAGAGGTAATGAAACATGGCAACCCTTCATCATTGATGCCTAAGATTCTTTTTTTATTGACTATTCAAAGTGGTTGTATGTCTGGTTAGGTCTAACCATGGCCCCTGAATGAATGTTGATTACATTGTTTCGATAAGTTGTTTAAGAATAGATTAGAATATTTCTAAGTAAATAAAAACAGTTACAGATTCCATATTTTTAAATAAAAGACTGTTAATAATTCTGTATAAATAAATAAAAAAATTCTATGCTACCACAGACTGTAAACTTCTAGTACTAACTTCATATTTTTTTCTCTTTTACCAGGAATTAAATATAGATGCAGTTGAGGTGGAAAACCTGTTAGTTTCATGTATTTTAGATAAGTAAGTAACCTCTTTATTAGTACAGTTTAGTTGTGTGTGGTTTTTTATCACTGTTTTTGACTAATTTGAGATTTAAAACTATTCAACAGTACAGTGAATGGAAGGATAGATCAGGTGAACCAAGTGCTTGAACTGGATCGGGAATCCACTGGAACTGCTCGTTATAATGCCCTGGATAAATGGACAACCCAGTTACAGAGCCTTCACCAAGCCGTGACCAGCAAAATTGCTTAGTTGTCCACTTGTTTGGTATCTAACTGGCAGAAGGATGAAAGCTTTTATATCAGATGATCATTTTATAAAGGATACCTTTTAGATGCAGTGTTCACTCACTTTCCAGTGTCCCCAACATCATGCTATTTTATGTATCTGAATGTTAAAACTGTAAATAAATGGTCTTAATGATTTCAGTTTTGCTTTGGTACACATATTTTTTTCACATGTTACAAGAAATAAACAATATCATTAGGTAAAATAAATATTTGGCTTTATTCATGTAACAGTTTAAGTCAATTAATGTTTGCCTTAACAATGGGAAATTTTTAAAAATCTATTTTATAGTTTACTATTACTGTTCTGGTTACCATACAAAAATAATGGATGAGCGATCTTGTAATGACATCCATCTATACTGACAGATGACTTGTCTGAGCCTAGGCACCAGTCCATTTCTGAAATTTGACAGGTCATTCCCCTTGTTGGTTCCAAGCACAGGTCTGTCACAAGTCTTTCACTGACATACTGACCAATGCCAAGAGAGCCTGACACCCCAGTTGACCTTATTCCACCTACAGTCACCCAGTTACTGACAACAAAAATACATTTTATGAAATGGCTAAAGAAGTTAATACAAAAATATATTACCCACCACTGAGAATGTAAATGTAAGTTGTTGGGTACTTTACATAAATATATTTAACTATCCAAGGGAACAGATCAAATACTAGTGAACTTAAAATGTAAGTGAACAGATTGAAGTGATTTGTTCTTACATTTGTGGATGTGTCCTGATTTGGTAGTCTTTGAACTGTGTGGCAGGCCTGAGACCCAGGTACTGACCAACAGGCGGATGGCTGTCCAGCTCTGGGATCAAGCTGCCAGCCCGCATCTTAAGTGACGAGTGAATTTTGGGGTCACATGTTGGCTGGCTTCCTCTAGCCACGTCTTCAGCTGTTGGCCCAATGATTAAGTTGTTGTAAACTGAAATTTAACATGGAAAACATGATTCTGTTACATAGCAAAATCTTCAGATAAAAAACGTAACTGACCAAAATTTAGCAAAAAACTTGTGAGGTATTGGTCAACTAAATAGTTAAAGCAAACATCTTTATCAAAATTTTAATTAATCAAACGTTTTTGCTTGTAGCATTCCCTGTATAAGTATTAATAAAGATTGATAATCTATATTAGTTCTATTTTTAGCAAGAAAAACATTTTAAAAAAACAACCTAAATTACCAGATTTAAAGAGAGCAATTCCTTTTGATTTATCAGATGGAACAGGAAAGATAATAGAGTCCAGGAAATTGCTTGCACTCTTTCCAAACACACAATACTGTCCTTTTCTAGGCTGAATGCTGAAGAAAGAAAACTTATCAGGTTTAACTGAATCATTACTACTAAATATTCATTCATTTTTGCTGTCATACGTTAAGATTTGTCAGTAAACTTTAAGCACCTGAAAGAGTTGATGCCAACCAGAGAATCCACTTTATCCCCATATAGTCCAGCACAGTTAACTGTTGCTTGGACTTTAAACAAACCACGGCTTGTTGTTAAAATTCCATCTTTAAAGCCAGTAACTTCACAATTTGTACAAATCTAAGAAAAATGTTTATTTAAAAAAAGAAATAAAAACCCCATAGAACAATGTATTATTTTAGTAAAAATGATGAAATCACTTTTTATTTTTTCTCCAGAATATGAGGTAGCCAGCAAACTAAAATGAATGATTAAATTTGAGTTATCTGAACTTTATGCATTTATATGTATTGTCTATTGTGCAAAAAGTATTCTTTTAATAAAAAGAGTAGCTGGAATTAATCATCAGCAAGTATATTTTCACCTTAGCTCCCAGCCTTACAGCCTGTTGAGCATAAATAATTCCAAGTAAACTTGAATCAACAACACATTCACCAGGTATGCTCAAAGCACCTTTCATTGTTTGCTTCAGGTGAGGTTCTATTTTGTGGAGGTCGCTTTGATTCAGATAATAGACACTGTCAATCCCAGCTTTATGTGCATTCTCTTTTATCAAGGGAATTTTTCTATTCTGTAAAAAGCACATGATAAATTCAACACTATCTGAGACTTCATAAGTTCTGTTACAGAACCAGATGTTTATTTTAACAGTTCATAAGATAAAACTTTAGACAGAATCTTTATGAATATTATATGAATTCTTGACCTGATAATTATTATGTTACAATCTAGTCCCTTTCACTTTTTTGGTTTTAAATTCAATTTGGAGAAAAAGGTTTTAACGCTGAAGATGCCTGCTTATATAACAAGTCTCAAAGGGTTTATTCAGTTCTATTTGTCTCAAATGTTTATAGTTTGTGTAGTGACTCTAAAAGATAATAAAAGTTACCTCTTCATCAGTCCAGGCTATTACAATAGCACCACATTTTCTATGTGGAATGTTACACTTTTTAATCAGCTCAAATATCACTTCCTGAGTGCTTTTGATACAATGCTGCTCAAGACTGAAGAGTGGGGCATCAAAGCCAGTATGAAGCATGCCACTAAGGGAGGAATCATAGTTTGCTTCAATAATTTTAAAATAAAATGGTTTTTGTTGTTAAGGCATAGGCCTAATTTCAAAATTCTACTTTATTATGCAGTTTAACTATTTGAATTTTAAGTGAAATTTTCCTTATTTGGTACTATTTTTACAATGCTTAAAATAAAAACACACTGGTAGCCAAGGTGTTACCTGTTTCCAGCACTGGCACCTGTCATAATGTCCGAACTTTTCTCCAACAAGATGCACCTGAAGCCCTGCCGTGACAACTCAAATAAAACAGCACATCCTACTACGCCACCTCCTACTATGCCAACATCATAATCTGTTTCTGACATTCTTTTGGAAAGAAAAACAAAAAGTAAAATATAATATTCAAATAATTTTTTTTTACTTTGTTGGTAGTCTTAAATTCAATAAAAAAAATCCCAACTAAAACAATTCACAAAGGAATGTGATGGCCTTGCCAGAAGATCTAGACTAATCAGTGACAACCAACTTTTCTTAGTGTTACCTTTGAGGTGCACTTAAATTTTTGGGGTAGACACTGGTTAAAGTAGGTCTATATATTAACTGAAATTATTTATCTGGTGATTTTACTCTGAAGGCAAAAAAAAAGTGTGAAGGGGGGGGGGGGGGGGGGGTTGATCTGTAATGAATAATGTCTCACACACAGACAATCTTTTTTTAAGATGCATTGAAGTTGTGTTTAAGACCCTCATCTTTTATATATTTATATAGATCTAACTATTATACCATATTAAATTAATTTTGAAGATCTAAGTTCTACAACTCTTCACTAAGACTAAAGAAAAAAAATTACTTGATTTAATCTAGAGTAAACTTAAGAGTAATCAGATATTCTAGATCTGGTTGGTTGTGCGTTTAGTCTGTGGTCAGTATACAGTAAAGTAATTAAACAATATTTTACTTTTATAATTTTCAAAATGCACTTGTATGTTGATCCAAATGTAATCTAGATCTGGATTTAGCAGCTGGAATATAACTTTTCACTACCGTCTCTTCTAAAAGGTTAAAGGTCCCTCGTAAAATTATCACAGTGGTTTCCCTTGGACCACATAATGAAAATTCATGTAAATTGTGACAGTCATAGGGAGCGGGTTGGGTGTGCATGTGTTTGTTTAGACCAGGGGTTGCCAACATTTTTTTTTACTCTAGAGCACATTCTAAAATATCGGTAGGGTGGCGGGCACCACTTTAAATCGACAAACTCCTTCCAGAGGCGTAGCGACCCTTCCCGTCACTTCGATTTCCACCCCCCCCCCCCTCAAATTTTCGATTTGCACCACCCCTCAAACTTTCGATTTCCATCCCCTTCAACCTTTCAATACTGTTTATGAAAAAAAATCTGTCTCTGTCGAATAGTGACAGGCGGGCACGGAGTTGGGAACCCCTGGTTTAGACTGAAGATAAAACTAATATAAGGAAGAAGGTTCTGAATAACCAGACATAATGTATTGAGTTGTGTTTTTAAAAAAAGAAGACAACGCTTGATTCATTTTATTTCTTTGTAAAATTCTACAATTAAGTAGTGACTAATACAACTCTCATTTTGGGATCCACAAGTGACCCTTCCTTTTACCTACACCACTGGTTGTACCAGGTAGGCTACTTAGAACATACATAAGGATAAATACAGGGCCAACTAAAACACAGAATTACCATTCCTTAAGTGTCTGGCCTGCAAAAAATGCAAATTCCCTGTGAACATAAACCAGTTCTGACATCAACTACTGAGTCCAGGTGTTTGTAAATCTTTTGTTCTAGATCTAGCTTGTTCTGTCTGTCTTACTCCAGTTGTTTATGTGCCCTTAACATGTCACATACATCAGGTATTTTTGTTAAGTAAAACAATGTTTATGCATACAAACACTAATTTTATGCTGGTTCTAAAAATAGGTACTGTAAAATTTGGTTGTTTATTGCAACAAACATTCCAGAAAACCTAGCTGTAGAGTCTTCAAACCTACCTGATAGTTGTAGAGTCTTCAAACCTACCAGATAGTTAGAATTGTAGAAGACTCAGTCACCATATTTTAAATTAGCTACCAAAATATTTTGTCAAATTTTTAAAAAACCAATGGACTAAAACAAATATAAATAATAAAAATCACATTAGAAAAAATCTTTTTGATAAAAAATTTATTTCATGAAAGGCACTTTGAGACAAAATAAAGTTGAAATTAGTGTACAAGAAACAAGTAGTAGCAGTCTAAAATTTCTGCTGGTGGACACATACCTACAGTAGACAAATATGAAAGAAAACCTTTAAATATATTAACACTGTTCCAGCTTTGATTTGTGTTCCATCAACAAATGTTTTAGAATATTACTGTAAGCTTTTGTTGGGACAGTTTATGTTGAATACATCACATGATCTACAAACAAGGTGAAAATTCTATCATGTACATACATTTAAATGTGAATCCTGAAGATCAAACTAAACACAAAATATATGGATTTCCTTATTTAGAAATAATGTATAGATCTTTATATGGCTTTCAAGATCTTATGAATTGACCTTATGGTTCAATGATGAAATAACATTGGTTAGGTAATTTCTACATGCCAGTCAAGTCAGGTCATCTTAGGTCATCTTCATGCAGGTCAAGAGCTCATCTTTATATGCAGGTCAAGTCAGCTCATCTATATGCAGGTAAAGTCAGGTCATCTCTTCATGCAGGTCAAGTCATGTCATCTCTTCATGCACATAAAGTCATGTCATCTCTTCATGCACATAAAGTCATGTCTTCTCAAACCAGGTAAAGTCTGGTCTCACACTCAGGTAAAGTCAGTTAATCTCTAGATGCAGGTCAAGTCATGTCATCTCTACACTCAGGTAAAGTCAGGTCATCTCTTCATGCACATAAAGTAATGTCTTCTCAAACCAGGTAAAGTCTGGTCTCACACTCAGGTAAAGTCAGTTAATCTCTAGATGCAGGTAGATTCTGGTCTTTAAACAAGTAATTTATCCCCCTCCCTAAGATAGTCAGTCAATTCCCACATAGATAACAAACACAAGCAACAATCTGTTTAAAGCTAAACAAAGAAAGATTACAGTTGAATATACTTCATGCAACTTGAGCAGAACACAACACTCAGTAACTACTGATCCATCGGCTAGTCAAAGTAGGCAACGCATTAGTATGAAACAATACTCATGCTGAACATGACTGTCTAGGGGACAAACATGTAGGTCCATTAGCCCGTAATCCATTTCTAAAAATGTATTACAATTTGAAAAATTGTTAATGTTTGGTTAATATTCAAAATATGTTTAGTGTTATTACGGTATTGTATTGCTATGTTAAGATGGACAAATAATGACAGCAGTTCACACATAGTCGTACTTGTACAACACTAGTCGTACACACGTCTGGTCGTACACATAAAAATATACACAGTTGTAAAATAAATCAATACACTGGTGGTACACATAAAGATGTGACATTGGATGAATTCATAACAGACCAGATCAGCTTGTATAAGGCCAAAAATCATTCACAGCCCACTCATTATTACATGACACTCATCTGATACCATTTGATTTAGCATTTACAAGCTGGTGAATAAAATCTTATCACAACATGATCAAAGTAAATTCACGGCCCAAACAAATTTTAAGCAAGGTTTTAACATTCATTTTGTAAAGAAAAACAAATGTTAATAATTATTAACAACGAATTTTAAAAAGTTTAAATTTAAAAAATCTTTCAAATTGAATAAGTTTTTAATTCTAAAATCGAATTGGCTAAAACAAAGGGACATGAATCAAACAAAAATTCTAATTTAATTTGTTTTATTGTTTCTTAAAAAAAGTGTATAGCAAATTTTGGGACTTGCGCAGTTGGCCTAGATGTAAACCCATGTGTGATGCCAACTTCTCTAGAACATGCGACTAGGAGTCAATTCACATGACCATTAATCATTTTGCCATGACTTGAGGAGGATCTTCTTGGTGTGACCATGGGGCATCATTTGTGCTACCAAACTATATTGGAATGTTCAAGTCTACGCTCTTCAGATGCAGCTAAATGGAAACAAAAGATACAAAAGCTTTTTTCATCTAGATGCAGCTCTAGGAAAAAAAAAAGTTTTTCTCCTACCTGTGGCCTATGACTAAACAGAAAGTTTTGTGACTTAAATGCCAACACAAACTAGTTATTGGCTCAACGTGAACACACAAGAACTTTTTCACACAGCAAGTATTGTAACACATCATTTACATAATTAAACATGAATTTTTTAAACACGGTTAAACATAAGCTTTTTAACACATTTGAAACACAGTAAAACGCAAGCCTTTTAACACATCTTACAGGCAGATCAAGGCATTTAAAAAGTAAATAATTTTTTAAAAATAAAATGTTTGACAATTTATATTATATTGTGAGAAAAACTTGCAAATTCCAGCAAGAGTAAAGTTCCACCTAAATGTACACACGACAACTTTGGTACACAATGTGTAAACAAGACAACTTTGGTACACAAACTGTACTTTGGTACGCTGCGACCCTGCATTCATTTAAATTATAATAATAGTTCTAACACATTAATCTCATTAAATTATAAATCACCTCTAAAATATTTTATAACAAATGCACAATTTTATCATGTGTACAGGTGACCAATGGGTCATGTGACTGACTGTACAAGTACACATAGTTTGGTACAACAGCTTTTATCATCCAAGGACATTATGTTACATATTTATGTAACACCACATCAAATGACATTATGTCACATATTCATGTAACACAACATCCAATGATATTGCAGTAGCAGTATTTGTGTGATGCAAAAGTGACATAACAAAAGTTGTCATGTCATGTAACATTGTTACTGACATGACATGGCAGCAGCTGTCATGACATATGATATGAAAGTGACATGATGTGTGAAATGGCAGTGACATGACATGACAGCAGCTGTCATTGAATGAAATGGCACCTGCTGCCATGTCAACCTAGATGACACAAGTGCCACCAGCTGACACAAGTGCCACCAACTGACACAAGTGCCGCCAACTGACACAAGTACCACCAACTGACACAAGTGCCACCAACTGACACAAGTGCCACCAGCTGACACAAGTGCCATCAACTGACACAAGTGCCACCAACTGACACAAGTGCCCCCAGCTGACAGCAGCAAAATGTAAAATCTCTACACTAGTTTCAACCCAATATTTATTATGTGAACATTTCAGTAAGAGAGCAGACAGCCTTATCACAGATACAACAAGGAAGGCATGTTTGATAACAATGGGCGTCCCCCTTCCTACCAGAAGTAGCAGTCAAATGTCTAAACATTAGACCCCAACATTTTCTAATGACAAAACTAGCTTCACTCCAGTGGTGTAGGATAGCTGCAGTGATGCCAGGATTGTATCTCAAAGTTCAGCTACATTACAATATAAGCAACTATTGGAAACTTCAACACAGAATTTAAATGGTTATGGCAGTACTAACAGTACTATGATGCTGTCATTACAACTAAAATACAAAGTTATTGAGCAAACCTTTCCACTAGAGCTATTCTAATCTTCACAGAAGGAAATTTCTAACATTTTTAACATGAACTTGTTGTGTATGGGTTACTATTCTCTATTAAAATACACAATGAAACTTGTTGTGTATGGGTAACTATCCTCTATTAAAATACATAATGAAACTTGCTTGTCTAAAATAATGAGCCCTAATCTGTTAACAATTGTTATTCTGGTATAACACCTGATGGCGCCTTCCTCTTCCACAGCCAGATCTGTCGGTCTACCCCGGTACATTTCCTCATCATCAGCTTCTTACCATCCACAGACACCTCCGCACACTTCTGTGTGTTGGCATGTACAAGTGTGTTGTCCTGGGGGTGATAATAGATTCATGGTCAAACCACGTGTTGCTGACAGATCTTAACATTAGCTAAACTACATTGTACCAAGCCTTTAGACAAATGATACCATTTAGGTTGTACTCATTAAATCCCACAACTGACACCATCAAGATTCTATAAAATAAATCACACAACCGACACCATCAAGATTCTATAAAATAAATCCCACAACTGACACCATCAAGATTCTATAAAATAAATACCACAACTGACACCATCAAGATTCTATAAAATAAATCCCACAACTGACACCATCAAGATTCTATAAAATAAATCACACAACCGACACCATCAAGATTCTATAAAATAAATCACACAACTGACACCATCAAGATTCTATAAAATAAATCACACAACTGACACCATCAAGATTCTATAAAATAAATCCCACAACTGACACCATCAAGATTCTATAAAATAAATCACACAACTGACACCATCAAGATTCTATAAAATAAATCCCACAACTGACACCATCAAGATTCTATAAAATAAATCACACAACTGACATCATCAAGATTCTATAAAATAAATCACACAACTGACACCATCAAGATTCTATAAAATAAATCACACAACTGACACCATCAAGATTCTATAAAATAAATCACACAACTGATACCATCAAGATTCTATAAAATAAATCCCACAACTGACACCCTCAAGATTCTATAAAATAAATCCCACAACTGACACCATCAAGATTCTATAAAATAAATCACACAACTGACACCATCAAGATTCTATAAAATAAATCCCACAACTGAGACCATCAAGATTCTATAAAATAAACCCCATAACTGACACCATCAAGATTCTATAAAATAAATCACACAACTGACACCATCAAGATTCTATAAAATAAATCCCACAACTGACACCATTAAGATTCTATAAAATAAATCCCACAACTGACACCATCAAGATTCTATAAAATAAATCACACAACTGACACCATCAAGATTCTATAAAATAAATCACACAACTGACACCATCAAGATTCTATAAAATAAATCCCACAACTGACACCATCAAGATTCTATAAAATAAATCCCACAACTGACACCATCAAGATTCTATAAAATAAATCCCACAACCGACACCATCAAGATTCTATAAAATAAATCACACAACTGACACCATCAAGATTCTATAAAATAAATCCCACAACTGACACCATCAAGATTCTATAAAATAAATCCCACAACTGACACCATCAAGATTCTATAAAATAAATCACACAACTGACACCATCAAGATTCTATAAAATAAATCCCACAACTGACACCATCAAGATTCTATAAAATAAATCCCACAACTGACACCATCAAGAGACAACTAGAATCTGCCCCAGACTGACCTCCTTGTACAACCATTCCTGATTGCCTCGCTGCCCATGGCAGGGGTAGATAATCACGTCATCTCCCCCTGAGTAATCCAAGCATCCATCATCTCGCCTGATTTCCCCATTCTTGCTCAGCATCCAGTACTGAAGTTACAAGTCAAATCAAGTTAACTCATACAGGAACACAATTTTAACAGATACAAAATTTTTACTGTAATCAATGTTAAAACAGTTTAGACAATGGCGATAAATTAATCGCTATCGTATTATGCAGCAATTAGATTTAAATAATTGCAATAAATAAATCCATATAATCCAAATCTTATCACAGCAATTAAGTTTTAAACAATTGAAGCAAGTAAACACAAGTCTAATCATGGAGATCTAAGTTCTAATCATTGAAATAAATCAATCCAAGTCTAGTTACACAGCAGTAAAGTTGAAAGAACTTGTCTAAAGTTGAAAGAACTTGTTTGAGGTTGAAAGAACTTGTCTAAAGTTAAAAGAACTTGTCTAGAGTTAATAGAACTTGTCTAAAGAACTTGTCTAAAGATGAAAGAACTTGTCTAAAGTTAGAACTTGTCTAAAGAACTTGTCTAAAGAACTTGTCTAAAGTTGAGAGAACTTGTCTAAAGAACTTGTCTAAAGTTGAAAGAAAATGTCTAAAGAACTTGTCTAAAGTTGAAAGAACTTGTCTAAAGAACTTGTCTAAAGTTGAAAGAACTTGTCTACTGAACTTGTCTAAATTTGAAAGAACTTGTCTAAAGTTGAGAGAACTTGTCTAAAGAACTTGTCTAAAGTTAAAAGAACTTGTCTAAAGAACTTGTCTAAAGTTGAAAGAACTTGTCTACTGAACTTGTCTACTGAACTTGTCTAAAGAACTTGTCTAAAGTTGAGAGAACTTGTCTACTGAACTTGTCTAAAGAACTTGTCTAAAGTTGAAAGAACTTGTCTACTGAACTTGTCTAAAGAACTTGTCTAAAGTTGAGAGAACTTGTCTACTGAACTTGTCTAAAGAACTTGTCTAAAGTTGAGAGAACTTGTCTAAAGTTGAAAGAACTAGTCTAAAGAACTTGTTTAAAGTTGAAAGAACTTGTCTAAAGAACTTGTCTAAAGAACTTGTCTAAAGAACTTGTCTAAAGAACTTGTCTAAAGAACTTGTCTAAAGTTGAGAGAACTTGTCTAAAGAACTTGTCTAAAGAACTTGTCTAAAGTTGAAAGAACTTATCTAAAGAACTTGTCTAAAGAACTTGTCTAAAGAACTTGTCTAAAGTTGAGAGAACTTGTCTAAAGAACTTGTCTAAAGAACTTGTCTAAAGTTGAGAGAACTTGTCTAAAGAACTTGTCTAAAGTTGAGTGAACTTGTCTAAAGTCAAAAGAACTTGTCTAAAGAACTTGTCTAAAGGTGAGAGAACTTGTCTAAAGAACTTGTCTAAAGTTGAGTGAACTTGTCTAAAGTCAAAAGAACTTGTCTAAAGAACTTGTCTAAAGAACTTGTCCTGACCTGGTTGCCTCCCTGGTTGTGACACGCCCACATGTTGACAGCTTTATGGTAGCTGTTGTGGTCTGTTGGGCTGTCTATACACATGGGCTTGGCCTTGCTGCGGATCTAAACAACAATGCCACAGTAAATAACAACAATCTCACAGTAAATAACATAAAACACTATAATCCAGATAATACAGCAACAGCAGTTTAAAAAAGGTTACATTACCTCCCCTGAGGCTAAAGCTTCACCAGGCACAAAGAGATCAGGATAAACATTTTTAATGTACCAGGCGAAGGACTTGCAGTTTAGATTTTTCCTCAACTCTTTACGTGCGGACACATCACCATACTCTCCCTATACAGACAAACATACAACTCTGAATAAATCAGAACAAGAATTTTTCTACAAAAGCTAGATTTTCTTGTATTAAAACTTTTAAAAAATCTGTAAAGAGAACTACTGACCAGATCAAAATTAAAGCGTTCGTAATAATAGTTCTTGTAGTCGTCCATCCAAACTTCGGCCAGACGAATGGAATTTTTCTTGACCACATTGACGCCAGTTTTCCACTTGTAGGGTGAGCGCTTGCGGAAGATGTGCCCCACGTGTGAGCAGGGTATAATCTCCAGGGATCCTCCACACATCCACACCTACAGCAGATAAATAATTCACGGAGCCATCCAACTGACTGAGTTATCTGCTCTTGACATGCAACTAGCCCTTGCATAATGCAGCGCTCAAACTAAAGTGCACTTTGTTTTTACGGAAACCAATTTATTTAATTACATGAACATTTCATGATGAAAGCATCTCTAAAAAAATATTTTTATCAATGGTTTCATCTAAGTGATGGGTAAAAACTTGGATGGATGGAAAAACTTGGATGGATGGAAAAACTTGGATGGATGGAAAAACTTGGATGGATGGAAAAACTTGGATGGATGGAAAAACTTGGATGGCTGGAAAAACTTACCCTGAAAGACAACTCTAAATTTTCCCCACCCCAGATATCCATGCCTGGGTCGTAGGTGCCAAGTTTCTCAAAATATCTTCTGCTGATTGCAAACAGGCCACCAGCCATGGTGGGGGATCTGAAACAAAACAACATCATGTGACCCAACAATCATGTGACCCAACAATCATGTGACCCAACAATCATGTGACCCTACAATCATGTGACCCTACAATCATGTGACCCTACAATCATGTGACCCCTAGTCATGTGACCCAACAATCATGTGACTCCTATAGCCATGTGACTCCTATAGCCATGTGACTCCTATAGTCATGTGACCCAACAATCATGTGACCCAACAGTCATGTGACTCTACAATCATGTGACTCAACTATGTCCTGTGACCCAAAAGACCCAGGGTAAGTTGAACTAGGCAAAACCCCTAGGTAACAGCTGAACTAGACAAAACCCCTAGGTAACAGCTGAACTAGACAAAACCCCTGGGTAACAGCTGAACTAGTGACAGAGACCATGTCTGTGACCTACTTGATTGGGGCGACATCGCTGGCCCTTCTCTGTCTCTCAAACTCTGGAATACCATGCCATGAGAACTGCATGTTCCAGTCAAAGCCTCCAATGCTGGTGGCCTTGGCGCTGCTGTACTGGTACTTGAGGGTGTCGTCCTCTATCACGTCTATCACAGGGCAGACAACTATCGTCTCATTGATGGCTATCCTGTCCAGCAGGGGTTCCAGCCAGCCTGAAAGACAAGTGGTCAGTGGCGGTCAGCCAGAGAACAGGTTTCAATGATTGAGGACAAGTGGTCAGTGGCGGTCAGCCAGAGAACAGGTTTCAATGATTGAGGACAAGTGGTCAGTCGCGGTCAGCCAGAGAACAGGTTTCAATGATTGAGGACAAGTGGTCAGTGGCGGTCAGCCAGAGAATAGGTTTCAATGATTGAGGACAAGTGGTCAGTGGCGGTCAGCCAGAGAACAGGTTTCAATGATTGAGGACAAGTGGTCAGTGGCGGTCAGCCAGAGAATAGGTTTCAATGATTGAGGACAAGTGGTCAGTCGCGGTCAGCCAGAGAATAGGTTTCAATGATTGAGGACAAGTGGTCAGTCGCGGTCAGCCAGAGAATAGGTTTCAATGATTGAGGACAAGTGGTCAGTCGCGGTCAGCCAGAGAATAGGTTTCAATGATTGAGGACAAGTGGTCAGTGGCGGTCAGCCAGAGAACAGGTTTCAATGATTGAGGACAAGTGGTCAGTGGCGGTCAGCCAGAGAATAGGTTTCAATGATTGAGGACAAGTGGTCAGTGGCGGTCAGCCAGAAAATAGGTTTCAATGATTGAGGACAAGTGGTCAGTGGCGGTCAGCCAGAGAACAGGTTTCAATGATTGAGGACAAGTGGTCAGTGGCGGTCAGCCAGAGAACAGGTTTCAATGATTGAGGACAAGTGGTCAGTGGTGGTAAGCCAGAGAACAGGTTTCAATGATTGAGGACAAGTGGTCATCCGAGAGAACAGGTTTCAATGATTGAGGAGAAGTGGTCATCCAGAGAACAGGTTTCAATGATTGATGACAAGTGGTCAGTGGCGGTCAGCCAGAGAACAGGTTTCAATGATTGAGGACAAGTGGTCAGTGGCGGTCAGCCAGAGAACAGGTTTCAATGATTGAGGACAAGTGGTCAGTGGCGGTCAGCCAGAGAACAGGTTTCAATGATTGAGGACAAGTGGTCAGTGGCGGTCAGCCAGAGAACAGGTTTCAATGATTGAGGACAAGTGGTCAGTGGCGGTCAGCCAGAGAACAGGTTTCAATGATTGAGGACAAGTGGTCAGTGGCAGTCAGCCAGAGAACAGGTTTCAATGATTGAGGACAAGTGGTCAGTGGTGGTCAGCCAGAGAACAGGTTTCAATGATTGAGGACAAGTGGTCATCCAGAGAACAGGTTTCAATGATTGAGGAGAAGTGGTCATCCAGAGAACAGGTTTCAATGATTGAGGACAAGTGGTCAGTCGCGGTCAGCCAGAGAACAGGTTTCAATGATTGAGGACAAGTGGTCAGTGGCGGTCAGCCAGAGAACAGGTTTCAATGATTGAGGACAAGTGGTCAGTCACGGTCAGCCAGAGAACAGGTTTCAATGATTGAGCTAATGAGGATCTAATGGCTGATGAGGCACTCACTAGTGAGGATATAAAGGAAAAAGTAACTTGAAATAAGGAACAAGTAGGAAAAATGAGATAAAGATAAGGTTCAGTGATAAATATGATGTAAAGAGATAAAGAAGAGGTGAAGAGATAAAGATGAGGTGAAGAGATAAAGATGATGTGAAGAGATAAAGATGAGGTGAAGAGATAAAGATAAGATGAAGAGATAAAGATGAGGTGAAGAGATAAAGATGAGGTGAAGAGATAAAGATGAGGTGAAGAGATAAAGATGAGGTGAAGAGATAAAGATGATGTGAAGAGATAAAGATGATGTGAAGAGATAAAGATGGGGTGAAGAGATAAAGATGGGGTGAAGAGATAAAGATGAGGAGATAAAGATGAGGTGAAGAGATAAAGATGAGATGAAGAGATAAAGATGAGATGAAGAGATAAAGATGAGGTGAAGAGATAAAGATGAGGTGAAGAGATAAAGATGAGGTGAAGAGATAAAGATGAGGTGAAGAGATAAAGATGAAGAGATAAAGATGAGGTGAAGAGATAAAGATGAGATGAAGAGATAAAGATGAGGTGAAGAGATAAAGATGAGGTGAAGAGATAAAGATGAGGTGAAGAGATAAAGATGAGATGAAGAGATAAAGATGAGGTGAAGAGATAAAGATGAGGTGAAGAGATAAAGATGAGGTGAAGAGATAAAGATGAGGTGAAGAGATAAAGATGAGGTACAGAGATAAAGATGAGGTGCAGAGATAAAGATGAAGAGATAAAGATGAGGTACAGAGATAAAGATGAGGTGCAGAGATAAAGATGAAGAGATAAAGATGAGGTGAAGAGATAAAGATGAGGTGAAGAGATAAAGAAGAGGTGAAGAGATAAAGATAAGGGGAAGAGATAAAGATGAGGAGATAAAGATGAGGTACAGAGATAAAGATGAGGTGCAGAGATAAAGAAGAGGTGAAAAGATAAAGATGAAGAGATAAAGTTGAGGTGAAGAGATAAAGATGAGGTGAAGAGATAAAGATGAGGTGAAGAGATAAAGATGAGGTGAAGAGATAAAGATGAGGTGAAGAGATAAAGATGAAGAGATAAAGATGAGGTGAAGAGATAAAGATGAGGTAAAGAGATAAAGATGAGGTGAAGAGATAAAGATGAAGAGATAAAGATGAGGTGAAGAGATAAAGATGAGGTGAAGAGATAAAGATGAGATGAAGAGATAAAGATGAGGTGAAGAGATAAAGATGAGGTGAAGAGATAAAGATGAGGTGAAGAGATAAAGATGAGGTGAAGAGATAAAGATGAGGTGAAGAGATAAAGATGAGGTGAAGAGATAAAGATGAAGAGATAAAGATGAGGTGAAGAGATAAAGATGAGGTGAAGAGATAAAGATGAGGTGAAGGGATAAAGAAGAGGTGAAAAGATAAAGATGAAGAGATAAAGTTGAGGTGAAGAGATAAAGATGAGGTGAAGAGATAAAGATGAGGTGAAGAGATAAAGATGAGGTGAAGAGATAAAGATGAGGTGAAGAGATAAAGATGAGATGAAGAGATAAAGATGAGGTGAAGAGATAGAGATGAGGTGAAGAGATAGAGATGAGGTGAAGGGATAAAGTTAATGTGAAGACATAAAGATGAGGTACAGAGATAAAGATGAGGTGCAGAGATAAAGATGAGGTGAAGAGATAAAAGTGAAGAGATAAAGAAGAGGTGCAGAGATAAAGAAGAGGTGAAGAGATAAAGATGAGGTGAAGAGATAAAGATGAGGTGAAGAGATAAAGATGAGGTGAAGAGATAAAGATGAGGTGAAGAGATAAAGATGAGGTGAAGAGATAAAGATGAGGTGAAGAGATAAAGATGAGGTGAAGAGATAAAAGTGAAGAGATAAAGCTGTTGTAGCACCTTCAGCACATTCACAATGTGAATCAAGGAACGTGACCACCTGGGCCGTGGCTATGGCGAACCCTGAGAGGCGAGCCCGGATCAAACCCTCTCTCTGAAGGGTTCGGGTGATCTTCACCTTGCCCAGCTTGGCCACGTATTCTTCCAGTGGTTTCTTCAGGTGCTCTGAAACAATAATCACGTGACCCAGAGTTAATAGTAATCACGTGACCCAAAGTTAATAGTAATCACGTGACCAACAGCTAATAGTAATCACGTGACCCACAGCTAATAGTAATCACGTGACCCAAAATTAATAGTAATCACGTGACCCAAAGTTAATAGTAATCACGTGACCCAGAGTTAATAGTAATCACGTGACCCAGAGTTAATAGTAATCACGTGACCAAAAGTTAATAGTAATCACGTGACACACGGTTAATAGTAATCACGTGACACACGGTTAATAGTAATTAAGTGACCCATGCTTAATATAATGACAGCCCTTAACAAGTATAGACAAAGACCGAGCCAGCTACCCACGTACAAAACTCAAATATTTAGTGTTGAGCAGTAAAACGTTGAATGGGCCCCTCATACTTTTTTTGTTGGGTCCCACTAAATTCTCCCAGCCTGTTAGCAGACCTTTTCTCCTACCCCCCCCCCCCCCCCCTTTTCACTTTGAAGATAACTTGAATAACTTAATTACTAAATCAATAAAGATAACTTGAATAATTTAATGGCTAAATCAATGAAGGTAACTTAAATAACTCAATCAATAATTACAATAGCTTTGACGCTACAGATGTTAGCGTCGTAATTTGAAACCAACACAAAAACCGATCATCAAACGTAACAAAACAACTACTTGTGTTTCAGGACATCGATTACCAATACGTTCGGCAACATCCCCCCCCCTCCCACATCCCCCCTCCCACGTGACACGTCACAGATCCTGTACACAGATTGTTGTCGTCTGGCGACTAGTGCCACGTCATACACGAGGCAGGAGCATAGTTTGAAGCTGCACATTTGTGCGTACCCGTGGGTATACTTGAAGCTGCACATCTGTGCGTACCATGAGGTATACTTGAAGCTGCACATTAGTGCGTACCCCAAAAGTATACTTGAAGCTGCACATTTGTGCGTACCCTGAGGTATGCTTGAAGCAGCACATTTGTGCGTACCCCAAAAGTATACTTGAAGCTGCACATTTCAGCGAACCGGATGGTATACTTGATGGGCGTCGCTATGTAGCATGTTACCCCCCCCCCCCCCCCTTCTCCTACCCAGGGGTAGCACAATGTCACCACCCCGTAGAGCCGACTTGGGGTGTGTATGAGGGGGGGGGGGAGAGAGAAGAGAAAGAAAATGATTGGTTTACATCTGGCCAGCTTTGATCATCAGGGAACAAAGGGAGCTAATACACATATAAAACAAGGGAAATAAAAAGCTGTATAAAGTTGGATTTGATGATTGTCTTCTCCCCATATTTCACTCGGTGAACTGCGAGGCTTGAGAAAAACGGAAGGGGGAGGGGAGATGGTGGAGTTGTGATGGAAAGTCCCGGATGAAAGATTTGCCACAAAATTGAGCCATTATTCTATTTTTAAACGGATTGCAAAAAAAATAAAAAAATAAATAAGGAGACATTTCTAAGTATAGCGCCTTTAGGGGAGGGGGGGGGGGGTAAATAACTGAGAGGCTTAAATAACTGAGAGGCATACCGCGTGACTGGTCTTTCATGGACTGTCTTTAAATCTAAATTTAAAAAAAAAAATCTACATCTAATGGAATTCTTTCAAACAAATACTTTTCCACTTTAGGGGACCAGACGAACTGCTCCCTGGGTCTTACCATGCACTTACAATAATACCCTAATCTCTGTAATCGATTACCAGCTTCAATAATACACTAATCTCTCTCTGTAATCGATTACCAGTTACAATAATACCCTAATCTAAGCCTCTAGTCGATTCCACTTTAAAGCATTGACGAGCTGCGAATACCGATCCCTGCTGATACCTCCAACAGAGTAGCTCCAAGTTGATTGTAAAATAAAGTGAGCTAAGTACAGGGTCATGAGGTGCCAAACTAGCACGAGTTGAGCTCGGAGCTTAGGGGCGTGGCCGGAAGAGCAGGAAGGAGAGGTGACGTGACTTACCCATATCGGAGAAGTCGTCGACTAGAATAATCTCCTTGAGGAGGTGAGCTGGCGACCTGTCCAGCACGCTGTGGACTGTCCTCAGCAACACTGACCAGGCCTCGTTGTGGAAACAGATGACCACACTGGTGTCTGGTAGATTTGTGTGGTACAGCTGGTCAAGGCATCTGGTGGGGAGGAAGGTGGTGGGGTTAGTTGTGGTGATACAGGAAGGTGATGGTGTTAGATGTGGTGGTGGGTAGAGGAAGGTGATGGTGTTAGATGTGGTGGTGGGTAGAGGAAGGTGATGGTGTTAGATGTGGTGGTGCTAGAGGAAGGTGATGGTGTTAGATGTGGTGGTGGGTAGAGGAAGGTGATGGTGTTAGATGTGGTGGTGGGTAGAGGAAGGTGATGGTGTTAGATGTGGTGGTGCTAGAGGAAGGTGATGGTGTTAGATGTGGTGGTGGGTAGAGGAAGGTGATGGTGTTAGATGTGGTGGTGGGTAGAGGAAGGTGATGGTGTTAGATGTGGTGGTGGGTAGAGGAAGGTGATGGTGTTAGATGTGGTGGTGGGTAGAGGAAGGTGATGGTGTTAGATGTGGTGGTGGGTAGAGGAAGGTGATGGTGTTAGATGTGGTGGTGGGTAGAGGAAGGTGATGGTGTTAGATGTGGTGGTAGAGGAAGGTGATGGTGTTAGTTTGTTGTAGTGGGTAAAGGAAGGTGATAGTGTTTGCTGTGGTGGTTAGAGGAAAGTGATGGTGTCTATTGTGGTGGGGGTGGGAGGGGAGGGTGGAGAACGGAAGCAAGATCTCTATGTTAGTTTCTTACACAAGTGCCAGTCGCTCGTTATTTAACCCGACATTAATACTGATCCCATCCACCCACATCGTACAATCTATTCCCCCTATCTACATTAGATCACCCCCCCCCCCGTGTCTTCCCTGACCCCCTCCCCCATCTACATTAGATCACCCCCCTGTCTACACTGACCTCCACCCCCACTTGAAGCAGCCCACCGTGACAGACCCTACAGACCTCCGTTTCTTGCACTAATTGACTCCATTTTCTCGCCCCTCTCCCAGACCTAATTCCCCCTTTTAAAGGCAAGGCCCAGCACCCAATGCAACCAAAGACTCATGTAATGGGATCTAACTCTTCTTTGACTGCCCTCAATCGTATTAGTGACAAGCAATTCACGCTCGTCCCCACCACCAGCCCCACGGAATCGATACGTTGTGCACTCTCAGGGTCCATCTGTGATTCAGCCCGGCCACAGGGGTGGGACGGACACTACTCAGCTAATACATGGGGGGGGGGGGGGGGGGGGAAGATGGAGGATCCCTCTAATGAAAGGAGAAAGCAAGAAGAGGAAGTGAGATGTATAGGGCCCAATCGAGTCGTTCATTCACTCAGTCCAATCGGGGACTAAGCTATTCTTAGAAGACAAATGATGACTGGTCACATGATTCAATTACTTAACCAATCACAACAGTTTACAGGCTCTCTATTCAGCGGGAAGTAGAGTCAACAGAATACTCAATCTACCAGCGTATGTTTGTATACACGCGCATGTGAATAGAACTATGTACACATGTGTAGACAAGTGTGTATTTACACAACTGCATGATGTGTAGATAGAATAACCTTCGCGGGGAGTTAATTAATTTCATCACACCTCATTAACTCAACACTTTTCAACGGCGCTTTATTAATTGCTGCACGCTTTATTAATTGCTTCACGGGCTGTAGTTTTTGCTGACTGGTAAAAAAAAATTCGCTTCGGCAACAAAATCAAATATTTTGATCTTTCTACATATATTAAAAAAAATAAAACCGAAATGCTGATTAGAATGAAATGAAAGTAAAAGACAATTTATTGCCGAGTAAAACATCTGATGTCGACATCAAGGGGGGTAAAAAACCCGTGTTTTAATGGGCAGATTAGTGCGCTTCTTCCACAGCCGTGTTCAAAAACTGAAATCAGGCTGCTAAATATTCATGTGCGGCGGGCCCTGGGATCCCCAGGTTAACTGCCGGTGAAATTTAGATGAGAATTTCAGCCAGAGATTCTCTGATTAATCTGTATCTAAACGACGTCCATGTAAAACCAGGCGGGAACTAATCTTGTCAAACGGCACAAGTGACGTCACACTGCACGAGACAAGTGACGTCACCCTGCACGTAGCTGGCGAGCTTATTACATCAGGGAACAGGGCATTAACCCCCCTGTCAATTACCCCCCCCCCCGGGCCAAGTAGGACAATACCCCCCCCCCCCCCCCCCCAACGGACATAGCTAGGTACAACTTGGGTTAGGGTTAGGACTATGGCTATGCTTAGTGTAAGGTTTAGGGCTAGATATAGGGTTAGGCAGTGGCGTCGCTAGGTCGGGTGTCACCCGGTGCGGCACTTCATGGTGTCACCCTACCCCCTCCCAGGAAATAAAGAATATATATATATATATATATATATATATATATATATATATAAATATATATATAAATATATATAAATAAATAAATAAATAAATAAATAAATATATATATATATATATATATATATATATATATATAAATATATAAATATATAAATATATAAATATATATATATAAATATATAAATATATAAATATATATATATATAAATATATAAATATAAATATATATAAATATATATATATATATATATATATATATATATATATATATATATATATATATATATATATATATATATATATATATATATATATATATATATATATATACAAATTACTAAATTTATTAATGGGACAGGCAAAAAAAACATTTTTCTTCTGAAAATTTGGCAAATTTTAGCCTTGGTCTCACTCCACTAAATGGTGTCACCCGGTGCGGCCCGCACCACTCGCCCCGCCCTCGCTACGCCTCTGGGTTAGTGTTATGGTCAGGGTTAGGCTTAAACCAATGTCTAGCGTTGATTTTGGTTTTGTGTTAAGTTTTAGGCCGAGGTGAATGCTTAGGATTTGGTCTTTTTTCTTAAGGTTAGGGTTAAGGTACTCACTCCTTGTCTCTGACGTCAGGTAGACTCCTGTGCAGTGACATCATATCACTGACGTACTGGTTGTAGGCGTTGTTCTTCCAGCCCTCGTCAAACTTCTTCCTCTCCACTTCAGACAGCTTCTCTTTCTCTATCGTCACACCTTTCCCGTTCTCACCTGGGGAACATATACCAACACATATCAACATACACCGACATACACAACATACAAACATACAACAACATATACCCACATACACCAACATACAAACATACACCAACATACACCAGGGGCGTAGCGAGGGGGGGGGGCGGGAGTTGCTGACCGCACCGGGTGACACCATTTAGGGGGGTGACACCAAGGCAAAAAAATAGCAAAATATAGGGAGAAAAACTTGAGGGGGGTGCAAATCGAAAACTTGAGGGGGGGGGGGGGGGGTGCAAATCGACAACTTGAAAGTTTGTCCCCGGGAAGGGTCGCAACGCCTCTGGTGGGTGACACCATTAAGTGCCGCACCGGGTGACACCCGACCTCGCTACGCCACTGACATACACCAATATACACCGACATACTCCACATACATCAACATACATCAATATACATCAACATACATCAATATACACAGACATACACCAATATACACAGACATACACCAATATACATACACCAACATATTTACACCGACATACACCAACATACACCAACATCAGCCACCATCTGCTAATGAAGTGACCCCCCCCCCCCCCACACAGTATTTTCACCCGTTAAAAATAAATTTTAAATCTTAACGAACTGACTAAATTGAAAAAGTCATTCTTTATTGTGTGAAAGACAAATCACGTGATACGGGTAGCTGACGCATACCTCAAATCTACAGACACATCACGTGACACAGGTACCCGTCGCATACCCCACACCCAGAGAGTGAACTTTTGCTACTTACCTGGAGCGTTGGGATCAAAGTCTACTTTGGGTAACGGCGCAATCTTGACCAGGTTCTGCTGGTTCTGTTGGTTCTGCTGGTTGTGCTGGACAGGCTCGGGGTCAGCGACCTTCTCTATGACAGGTTCCAGACGCTCCGTCCTGGGCCTGTCTGTTATCTTCATGGTGACCTCCACTCTATGGACGCGATGGAACTCCTCGTGGTTCTCCTCCAGCTCACGGTGCTGCTTGCCCTCCCCACCACCCTCCAGTAATGAAAACGTCCGTTTGCTAAAGACGAAGATGGAGATGATGTACAAGAGCGGGATGGCCACCAAAAGTTTCAGGAGAAATCCTCTCCGGCGTCGTAAAAAGCTGGCCATAGTCACGTGTTAAAGACCGAACACCCGGCGCTTTAGCGGGTTGGCATCGGGTTGTTTACGAACTTGATCTGGTTGTCAGCACCATTGGGTTGTGTACGCGTCTGGTTGTTTTTTTCTTCACTGGCTCCAAAGGTTTCTGGATAAACAAAAGACAAGTTAGAGGTGAAATATACATATGTAAACACAAACACTCTACTGTAGCCTACATGTCTGCATTAGGGTGGATGGGTGAGGAATCGAATCATGCGGCTTAAGTCTCTAAACTGGACACAGTGGATTAGATGGACACACAGGTCAGGAGACTGGACACACAGGACAGGTTAGTAGACTGGTGTGTCCAGTCAACTACTAGCTAGGAAAAGTAAAAGATACTTAACAAACTTGACTAAGCTAAGAAAAGTAAACGATAGCCCCCACATGAAAATGATTGACATTAAAGACACACACGTTAAATACACATCAGTTCATCAGCGATCAGTTTCTGATGGCAAAGATCAAATTGATTAAAGGGCTTTAAAGATTTCATAACAACCTGACTCAATACACTGACTACCACTGAATACCCGCCCCTATATTACAAGAGAAGAGGGAAAAAAAACGAGGTTTAAAATTTTTTCGAAAAAAAAAATCAATTCTTTGGAATATATTTTCAGTATTAAAACTAAATTTTGATAATCATATCGTTATGAGTTTGATAGTTTTGGATGGTAAAAATCACGACAATAGTGTAAGACGGTGGACGGTAACTCCCCCATCCTAGGTCTAAGATGGTAACCCACCATCCTAGGTCTAAGATGGTAACCCACCATCCTAGGTCTAATATGGTAACCCACCATCCTAGGTCTAAGATGGTAACCCACCATCTTAGGTCTAAGATGGTAACCCACCATCCTAGGTCTAAGATGGTAATCCACCATCCTAGGTCTAAGATGGTAACCCACCATCCTAGGTGTAAGATGGTAACTCCCCCATCCTAGGTGTGTGATGGTAACACCCCATCCTAACTGTAAAATGGTAACTCCCCATCCTAGGTGTAAGATGGTAACTACACCAGCCATAGCGTACACAATTTAATGTAGGACAAGACCACCCAAGACCACGAGACAAATAGAAGTTGTCGAAATGTCTAGTGAACAACAATGACACATGCAATCTAGATAAAAGATTTTTTAAAATAATAACCATGTAAATTTTGATCTAAAAAATGTATCTTTCCTCTAACCACACAACTATGTTATCTCTTGTGTTGGAAGTTGAAGCAATCGGTAACCACTCCAGTCTAAACACGAGTTTGACGAGTAATGAAATAATTAAAACAATGTTTACTACTATACTTTGAGCAGAGTTAAATCAACGAATGTAGGTGTAGCGTTGACCCTTGTGATGGTGTAGTGTTGACCCCTGTGATGGTGTAGCGTTGACCCCTGTGATGGTGTAGCGTTGACCCCTGTGATGGTGTAGCGTTGACCCCTGTGATGGTGTAGCGTTGACCCCTGTGATGGTGTAGCGTTGACCCCTGTGATGGTGTAGCGTTGACCCCTGAGGTTGGTGTAGCGTTGACCCCTGTGATGGTGTAGCGTTGACCCCTGTGATGGTGTAGCGTTGACCCCTGTGACGACACCATCAGCTGGTAGAACTGCTATCTTATGAGACCACAGGACGTCTTGACCTTGACGGCTACCACTTCCCTACACGACACGTACGAGGCCCTAAACTTTCTGACCCTCTCCCATAACTCCAGTCTAGTTTTCTCCCCGCCCCTCCCCGAAAGTTTAGTTCTATAGCTAGTCTTGTAACTCGACGCTAAAGAAGCCGGCCAAGTCGGGGCGGATGGAAATATTCCAGAGTTTTAAATCCAGACGTTTCCTGGGCTTTTAAAGGCTTAGTGGCCACTGCTAGCGTCCATTTTACGTGGTATCGTCTCCGTCTCGCCAGGTGGCTTAGTGGGCTTTACGGGACCATCAGGACACAGATGGGACCATCAGGACACAGATGGGACCATCAGGACACAGATGGGACCATCAGGACACAGATGGGACCATCAGGACACAGATGGGACCATCAGGACACAGATGAGACCATCAGGACACAGATGGGACCATCAGGACACAGATGGGACCATCAGGACACAGATGGGACCATCAGGACACAGATGAGACCATCAGGACACAGATGGGACCATCAGGACACAGATGGGACCATCAGGACACAGATGGGACCATCAGGACACAGATGAGACCATCAGGACACAGATGGGACCATCAGGACACAGATGGGACCATCAGGACACAGATGGGACCATCAGGACACAGATGAGACCATCAGGACACAGATGGGACCATCAGGACACAGATGGGACCATCAGGACACAGATGGGACCATCAGGACACAGATGGGACCATCAGGACACAGATGGGACCATCAGGACACAGATGAGACCATTAGGACACAGATGGGACCATCAGGACACAGAGGGGACCACATAAAGCACACATTTAAAAGATGGGACCACATAAAGCACATATTTAAAAATGGGACCACATAAAGCACATATTTAAAAGATGGGACCACATAAAGCACATATTTAAAAATGGGACCACATAAAGCACACATTTAAAAGATGGGACCACATAAAGCACATATTTAAAAATGGGACCACATAAAGCACATATTTAAAAGATGGGACCATATGAAGCACATATTTAAAAGATGGGACCATATGAAGCACATATTTAAAAGATGGGACCATATGAAGCACATATTTAAAAGATGGGACCATATGAAGCACATATTTAAAAGATGGGACCATATAAAGCACATATTTAAAAGATGGGACCATATGAAGCACATATTTAAAAGATGGGACCATATGAAGCACATATTTAAAAGATGGGACCATATGAAGCACATATTTAAAAGATGGGACCATATAAAGCACATATTTAAAAGATGGGACCATATGAAGCACATATTTAAAAGATGGGACCATATGAAGCACATATTTAAAAGATGGGACCATATGAAGCACATATTTAAAAGATGGGACCATATGAAGCACATATTTAAACAACTAAAAGGGCAACCGAGCAACCACATAACGCTGACTCACAAGGTGACGCTAACAACCAACTTAAAGTATACAGCAGCAACATGATAATCAAAAGTTTACCTAACACAATATTCTTTTCAGTATAGCAAGTAGACAGAATGGTATAGAAAGTAGACAGGATGGTATAGCAAGTAGACAGGATGGTATAGCAAGTAGACAGGATGGTATAGAAAGTAGACAGAATGGTATAGCAAGTAGACAGGGTAGTATAACAAGTAGACAGGGTAGTATAGCAAGTAGACAGGGTAGTATAGCAAGTAGACAGGGTAGTATAGCAAGTAGACAGGGTAGTATAGCATGTAGACAGGGTAGTATAGCAAGTAGACAGGATGGTATAGCAAGCAGACAGGATGGTATAGCAAAAAGACAGGATGCTATAGCAAGTAGACAGGATGGTATAGCAAATAGATGCTATAGCAAGTAGACAGGATGGTATGGCAAATAGGATGCTATAGCAAGTAGACAGGATGGTTTAGCAAACATACATGATGGTATAGCAAGTAGATAGGACAGTACATCAGACAGAAAGAGTAAAGCAACCAATGAAAGCTATACACAGAGCCGGTGTTATTGAGTCCCACAATAAACTCACCAATCGATCGCATATTGATCTGTGTGGTCGATGTAAATATTTCACAAAAACCACACATATACTTATTGATTTACATTTGGGTCACATCGATGGAGAGGTGGGGGTGGTTGAGTGGGGACAGGATGTTGGTGGGGGTGGTTGGGAGAAGTGGGTTGGGGAGGAGGGGGGGTGCGATGTTTAAAGCTATCCTCCGTCCTCTCCTCGCTTGTCCCCTCCTCCCATGTTATCCATCAATGTTATCCATCAATGTTATCCATCAATGTTATCCATTTTACTCAACGCTAGCCTTAACCACCGCCCCTCCCAAATCTCTAGCGGTTTGAGAACTTGATTAGAGTCAAACATAAAACGTATAGCTTCAAAGATGGAGGAGACCTCACTAAAGTGAAACAAAACATAATGGATGTTTACCTTGATGAAACTAATTTACATTGCATTTAATTAATGAGAGATGCATTGGTATAAAATAGTGTATAGGCTACTTTGGTAAAGAAGAAATCTTTAGGTTAAAAAATTGACATGTAGCCCAGTAAAACAGAAGTCACATGGCTGTATACCACAGTAAAGAAGACATCTAACCTTATTTGTAAGGACGTAGGTTAAAAAAGCCACCCCCTCCCCCTTACACAATCTGTCCGTCAGCAATTGGACACAGGACGGACCTCCCCACTAACGAGCACGTCCAACCACTCCACATATTCGGGTCAATCTCTTGATTGGGTTTCCTCTCCCCCCTCATGGGGTGAGGGGGGGGGGGAAGGTCGGCACTGGGCGAGTTTTGTGGTGTCACGGTGCATGGAACAAAACCTCAAGTTTCTAAACAAGTATACGTGTCAAGTTTCCAAACATAAACAAGTGTAAAACATGTCAAGTTTCTAAACAAAAACATGTCTAGTTTCTAAACAAGTGTACAAGATGTCAAGTTTCTAAACAAAAACATGTCAAGTTTCTAAACAAAAACATGTCAAGTTTCTAAACAAGTGTATAAGATGTCAAGTTTCTAAACAAGCGTACAACATTAAAAAACAACAAGTGTGCAAGCTACTATAAACAATACATGCTCCCAGTGACTCAATGCTTGCTGTCCCCCAAGTTCCAACTCCCAAATATGCAGCAGCCTGTGTACAGACATCTCTGAACTAGAGACGGCCGGGCCAATGACTCAGCTGAGGAAATGGCGCTAAACCTAATGATCACACGTACAAATACATGTAATAAATCTACCCCCCCCCCACAAATATTACCCACCCCTCCTGTTCGTACATGCACAACGACCTGAAATAATTTAACATAAACTATGGAATAAAAACGTTTAAGTGTAAGCAATCGTATGATAAAATATCATCGAGCCCGGTCAAGCTTATAGAAATATCAAAGCGTTCGATACAATTCAAATAGATTTCGTGATTTCAAAAAATCTGTTTGCTTATAAACT